CATTTAAATATTCAGCTAACCAACCCTAAAAGGGGAGCTTCTTCAATCTTGTTTCTGTCACAAAGAATGCATGGAAGAAAGCTACCATAAAATCAGAGACATGATGTACACATCTGGTGATGGATTCACTTGATGAGCACACAGAATGAATGACACTGACATGAATGCAGTCATGCCAGAAACAACCCCTGCTGGGAGCAACATCAAACTACTTATAATGCAACTGATAGCGGCTAGATTTCTGGCATAGATTTCACATGGAGAATTGAAGTAGCCTGACTGTACATACACAGAGTTGTATTTGACACGGAAAAACATTGAATGAAATGGAAATCGTAACATCAAATCATAGAATGGTTTAGGTTGGAAGGGACCTCAAAGATCACCTAGTTCCAACCCCCCTGCCATGGGCAGGGACGCCTTCCGCTAGACCAGGTTACTCAAAGCAACCTATATAAAAGCAAAACATACACAAAATCAAAACTAGCCTTCCCCCCAAAAAACCCACCGCCACCAAGCATTCAACACCCTTGAATAACTGGTGTTTGACTTTTGTATGTATTTATGTGTGGTTAACGGGGTTTATCTTAAGGATATTGAATGGTCACTGACATATCACAAAATAAGCATTCATAGTTCTGTTTATACAGCAGAGCTTTAAATAAAACATTGTTCTCTGTCACCTGGGAATTCTGCCTTTTCCCAGACTTGCAGATAGATACAACTTCTGCCTTACTTTGCTTAAGGAACAAAATGATCCTTTGTGTGACAACTAGTGCAACTACTTACCTATTTTTGTAGCCAGATAAATACAGTGCATAATGGTGTCGCGGCATGACTACAAACTCCTTTGTGCCTTTCTTGGTGTTAAAACTTTCACAGGAAGGGAAGACATTAAAGTGAGAGTTCAACCCCCTAGAAACTCGAGCATATAATTACAAAACTGTCTTGAACAGAAGGTTCTTCTACTGCAACAGAGTGTACTAATTTGAGAGAAAACTGAAGTCTCTAGCACCTCATTATTTTTAAAAAGTTTTAAAAGTGACAAAATGGCACTTATTTGTAGCTCAATAAATGACAGATAATAATCTTTAGGCAAAACGAACCATGTTGTCAGATATGAACTGTCATGGGTATAGCACTTCCGCCCTCCAGGACATGGGGTTGCTTTCAGCCTGCCCCTTGCACCGGGCCACATCTCGCTAAGATCAGTTCTCCTGTTAAATTTCTCTTGTGCTGAAACACTGCAGCCCAGAACTCTTCGGGCAGGATCTGCTTTACACGGTGGCTAGGCACATTACACGGAGTTCGGCGCAATCTTTACGCAGTCTGAAGACAGCAACACACAAAGTTCAGCGCTGTTGAGTTTATCGACTCCAACTAGAAAGTATGAGATTCGGGGGCCTGCTCTGATGCCAGGCAGTTGACACAGGGGATGCTCTGCCAGAATTATCGAAACTGCCAGCTACTGAAGAAATGAATGCTGCTTGTGTTGTGCCTCAGTACGAGGTCCTCCTTCTGCCCAGCACTGACTGAAGCAGTGCGTCCCTCTGACCACTGTGATGAAAGCAGGGGTGTTGCCTCTTGAAGTACACTCATGTGTCTCTACCCAGTGCTGTGTGCACTTCACAACATTCTCTCAAGGATGCAGCGTGCCCCAGGACAGAGTTCACACACTAAAGGAAGAGTATCTCGGGAGCCAGATCCAGTCTGTGCATCTGTCTACTCCCGAACTAATTTATCAGACTTCACTGCAGGTCCTCTGGTCAGGCGAAACAGCTATTTGTAATAGACTTGTAACTCACATAACAAAACAGTTTCTGCATTTGGCATTATAAACTTTGTGCCACAGAAATGTGTTCTTCCATTAACGTGAACAACCACAAAGTGTTTAATGTATACTACTGTGAATACGGAAAAGCAGGTTTCAGGAATCATGGCAGTTATGGGCAGTTAACTCTTTGTGAATCATGATGCAACTACATAAGGACAAAACTTCTACAGTATAAGGCACACAAAAAAACCCAAAAAAATCCAAAATCAGAGAATAAAAAAAAGCAGGGAAGATAAATGTAGCGATTGCACATGCCATACTCCTGGAGTGAACATCTTATCAGCTTGGACTGATCAAAAGCAAAAGTGTGCTCGTGAGCTAAACGTATTTACATTGAGGAGGTTTCTACATTACGTATTCATCCCTTCATGAGGAATTAAGTAATGAAGATGCAGAAAATCAAAGGGAAATGGACAGATGAAACAAGAGTCTATTCTTCAATTTTTGTTTTAAAACTTTTCTTACTTTGAGGCTTCTGATGTAGAAAACTTTAAACGAATAATAAAATGTTCAAATTATTTTCTGAATAGTTGGGGAAACAACACTAGACTATTTGTACACAAACAACTTTGAGGCATTTTGCTTTTAATTTGCATACAGTTCCTTAAAGTGAATTCCACATGAAGAAGGGTGAGATACAACAGAGCTCGTTTACCATTTCACAAGTTAACAGAACAAAGTAAACATCCGTCCTTCTTATTAATTAGCTTCCATCCCTTACTCCAACCTGTCACTTCCTGCTGCAAGTCTTCATGCCAAATAAGTGCATGGACTAGTTCCAAACTCCACAGACGTTCACATGTGGACTTCAGCGGTACTGGAAGTTACAACAGCAAGAAAAAAATTGAAATAGAAAGACTTTAGATGAGCTTATATTCTCTTAATGTTTCCCAAATAAAGACCCAAAATCCAGAGTAAAAAAATACTTCAGCTCAGCTACTCATCTGACTGCAGTTCCTCTATGGAGCACATAGCTAAGGAGAAAAAAGAACAGTACTTTCTGTCAAATAAGAGGGGGCATTAAATCAGAAATAGAGAGGTCTCAAAATAACTGTGCTAAAATGGACTTCCCAGACAAATTTATCTGGAACACAAATTGAGCATGCTCTTTCCTTCTACACACTGACAAAAGTTTTCTAGCTATACAATTTCCATACATAGTTGCATTTGACAAGGCTGTTGCCTTCTTTCAAACTGGCAAATACCATCCTGATCAAAATATATTACAACAGTATTATACCTGCAACAAAATACTGGCATGGTGCTAAGGACAGCATCATCTTTCTTCATGCTTTAATATGACCAAAAATAGGTTAAACACAGGTTGAGAGGGAAGCAGTAACAAATCTGTCTTGCAGATCTTTCTGAAAAATAGATGGGAATGTGAGGCTATCCAGGTTAAAAAAAAGAAAGAGCCATAAGCTGCAAAGCAGCTGGACCTACCAACAGCAGCAGAAAATCCCTATCACTACAGCTGTCTTTATTTAGGTCTTAGAGCAATAAACACCAATTTAGCCTTCTGCCTAAAAATTTACAGGAAGCCTTTTTTTTGGTAGGAATTTTAAACATTGAGATTCTGTGACACTGCTCACAGTGAGTTGAGTGACAAAATCAAATCAATTGTGCTGCAGCGGAAAATTACAGAAGTCGGAATTGAATGTCTCTGATAGTAAGGGTTTGCATATGCACGCAAGCCTACACATTACAGCACATTTGTCTATGACAGCGATTCACCAATTTTTTCCTCTCATCATTGTGGATTCTCCAGCAACTCTACTGACTCTGAAATACATCAGTACCAGAGAAGAGACTCTAACAATAAAAATCTTTGTACAATTTAATATTTATTAATTCTCTAGTCATTTTTTGCTATATATTTAACACTAGTGTGACAAAAATCCTGATAATTATATCTCATGCAGGTAACTTAAATGAGGAGTTAGCACTATCTAAACTGGTAAACCTACCACTAGGGGGGGGTTACTTTTGAGCATCCAAGACAAGTATTTCTGCAACAATGACAACTTGGTGGGTATGCATAAAACATAACAGACTCAGCTGAATGTACTGGGCAGGTATCTAAACGACAACACAGCCTTCAGAAGGACTCAAGAGGCAACATCCTTTGACCTAAAAGCTTGATATTATTGGTTAAGAGGGCCTGAGTGGAGTCAGAGGCATGTTGGAAACTATTGTTAGGAGAGACGGCGTTTCTGTAGTTAGTCAAACAGTTTAGCTTTTGCTAGTTAAGTAGCTGTGATTTGTGTTCTTTCTTTGACAGAGTAAAATGTGTTACTCACTCTACCCATACTGCTATTGTTTAGGTCACAATAGAGATATTGAGAGCATACCGTACCTTTCTGCAGCTGAAGACAAAGATTGCTGATAGATTGTTGCTATTCCTTCTCTGCAATTCCTTGGTGAGTACATTTTCATCAATACCAACTACAAAAACAAACTCCCTAGAGTCCAGATTTTTAAAAAATATATTACAGGAAAAGTCTACTTGTAAATCACTTATTCTTTTCTCCTACATTACCACAGGTTTCAAAACAAAATAATTATAAATGAAATTATTAAAAGAATAACAAGAGTCGTGATAGTCTTTTGTTGTACTGGGCATTTCCCTTTTTCTAACTAACATACATTCTATCAGAAATCCCACAGTACAAACCAGGTAACTTCAATTAACAAACAAAATGCAAACTATTCAGTCCAATGTTAGAGCATGTGTATGTGTGTATAATACTGTAAAAGTAGTCACACATTAGAGGTATATAATTGAAACAGCATTTTCCTTCATGAACCTGCTATTATTGAGGCAGTGACAAATTTTCCATTTCTTTGTTTTCTGAGCTCTTTAAAGAATGGCTATTGCCACATTTTGTAAACCTAAATACTGTACAAGCAGAAGCTTGTTGGTATCAGGTAAGGAGTAATACTACTAGTGCAAACAGGTGCAGAGACAATTCCTCCAGTTTTGGGGTGAACCAGCTATATAACACTGAAAGAGGACAGGCATCTTCAAATCCACACTCATGCGTGTTTCTCCAGTCAGACGTACATCCTTCTCCATCTTGGTCTTCTTTTTACACGGGTAGGTGGGGGAGAACCACCAGCTCATGTGATATTTATCATATGAAAGACTGCTTGACTGTTTTCCTGTTAATATTATGAATGTTTTATAACAAGTCAAGGAACCATAAATACCTCAAGCATCAGGAAAGTGACAATAATACTGACTTAGTATCTTTAGTAAAAAGTGAAACATTCTCTCCTGAGATATAAGTCAAGGAAGGAACAGGAATGATGAACCTAACACCGTACCATTATTTGATCTTCATGCACCTCAGCTGACAAGATGAGAAAGAACAAGTGGTTTTTGCCCTCTGCTCATCCAAAGCTATGACAGGCAGTTTATTTAGGTAAGTGCTCGGCATACCAGAGTGTTGTCAGAGCAGTTCTCACTGTACTGTCCCCCTTTAGCTTATTTCTTTAAAAGAAAAGGGAAAAAAAAAAAAAAAAAAGAAAAAAAATCTCAGCAGATTAACCCTCATCTTCTCTCAGCTCTGTGGGTAGAAACTTGTATTGCTGTTGACGGATTTGAGCCAGTTTTTTCCTTGCCTCTTCTAGCTCTCTTTCCTTCTTCAGCATTTCTTCTTGGGCTGCAATGATCTAGAAAACAGAAGCATAAATTATGACAGCAAGGAATATTGTCTGTAAAACAAGATTTCCTTCTCTATGACACCAGTCACAGGTAGGCCTTGAGAATTCTCAAGAGAAGCACCAAATTTCAATTACTTCATCAGGAATTGCTCAAATTTTTCCAGGTTCCAGGACTATGCCATCAAGAACACTTATTTCTTAAAGAGGACTAATAAATAAATAAATAAATAAATCTACCAGCATAGTTTTACCATACGTCCATGATGGATTTTATAGTGCTGTGCTTGCCCAACATTCATCGGGGTGAGGAGTTAGCGCATGTAGGATAAGCATGATGTCTTAACGTAATGTTTGAGTGACAGTAAAATTGAACACTCATTACCGCAGGTATCGACAGTATTTTCCTGCATCTCAAAATGCTAAAGGAAAAATGACAGTATTACAGACATGCAGAAATGATAAGTTTCAATATCGTTTAAGTAGCAACCACAGTACCTGGTGTTCCTCACTCATAACAGTGAAACCACAAGTTGGTACAACTTCAAAGCCTTGGAATCTATTTTTAAATATTATTTTCCCGTAATTATGGTCACAGTAACAAAATGTCATCAGTTCTTATCTCTCACTCTCTATTTCCTTGATTATATAAATACAAAACTAGTGTTCCATGAAGATTTGGGAATATTTAACAAAAAGAACCATTAGCTTCATCAGAACAAAAATAAAAGATATTGGACAATGGTAACTGCTATTACAGTAACTGCTCAATGAAGTGCAGACATCTTAAAGCATATCGCACTGCTGTTATGTCAGTGGTTACCTAAGAGTGAGGCATCAAGTAATTTATCATAGATTTCTACATAGATTTGTCCAGTCTGCAATAAAGCAGATGGACATTGTAACACTACGCTACATTTCTGTGATAGTTCTTGCTCTGCTTTACTTCTTGGGTGATTCTACCAACCTGAGCAATGCCACCCACAAACTTTGTTTTGACCACAACGTCGTCATCCTCTGCTTTCCCAAATGCTGCTTTTTGGGCCGCCCTGACAAGATTGTCTGATGCTCGCTTGACAGCATTTCCTGCAGCCTTTGAAAAAGACAAAAGAAATTTAGTAGTAACAAAAATGCATAACTAATATGGATTGGTCTGAGCATCAAAACTAAAACGTCACTGCTTGATTACACAGGAAAGGTGTGTTTTGTTTTTCCCAGTAAAAAGTAAATTAATCTTTCAAAATTAATGGTAGAGAGAGGAATGCAATTACTTTATTTATGAAGCTGGAAGTTGGGAAAGTCACAAATGAGATTCCCCCCCAGTTTGAAATAAAACAGTGGATGAAATCACAAGTTACATTATGCACAACACTGATCAGTTTGTTGGGTTTTTTTTGAGGAAGAACAGAAAATGAAAGCTAGTGTATAAAGAAACATTTTAAGGCAAAGAAGTTTTTAAATTAATAGACTTTCACGAGGGCAAATTATCCACTTACAGAGTCATTATTATCTCATATTTAAACTTTTATTCCCTTAAAAAGTCTCAGATTTCTAAAGGTAAACAGTCAAACATTTGTAATGCATTTTCTGTTGTCTAAACTGAGTAGTGTCAGCAACTGTGCATCAAAAAGAAAAAGGTAACTAAGCTACCTGCATTCTAACTTTGACAAAGCTATCTTTGCTATACTCTAATGCATATTGGCAGTAGAGATTCCACACTGCGCGCTCAGCAGTGACCATGTCCAGAGGCACTGGTTTAATGAACACAGGAGGATACCTGAGAAGTGGCCTTGGAATCTACTGTGATCCCTACGGAGATGAGTGGAAGAAGAGTCCTTGTCACAAACAAAATGCAAACATCTCTTCTACTAAAGCTAAAAGATGGAGCTGGCAGCTTTTTTGAAGCACTGAGGTCTTGAAGACCATTGGCTAGGAAATACCTTGTGCAGACAGGTGACGGTAGTAAAGGGCTCAGCTCTGTAAGATCTGGCACTGAATTTGCTCCAGTGTACTAAGAGCTGGTGAAAGTGGTGGAAGACTGGCTCTGGGAGAAGAATGCTTTAATGCGTTCTGCACATGGAGGTGTAAATGAGATCTTTCGTATACCACTGGCAGTCCTTTAAATTTGTGAGTCCCGGATAAGTCTTATGTCTGATATTTTGTATTTTAAAATTGGTTGATACACCAAAATTTGACCTCCTTCCTGGCTCTTACTGGAATCCTCCTCCTTTCCACTTCTTCATCTATTCATCAATGTCAGGACAGAGGCAGGGAAAAAAAACTTCTGGGCTGATGTGGACTTAGCGCTAAGAGGGGTTACTGATCACTCATTCTGAGGGACTGACTGAGGGATCTAGCTGTATGTTTTCTACTCAATTATACATACAAATACTGAAAGGTGGACCCCCATGTGTATTTCAAGTACTTTAGCAAAGAAACAACTTCAGAGAATGGGACAGGGTACCACTCGAGGATATTTCCACCTCCTGAGCAAGAGGAACACCTAGATCACCTGTTACCATGGATGAGTCTTCAGTGCACAGTGGAATGCCATGCAGAGATAACTAAATTGTGAAGTATTTAGTTGAGATACCAGAAGCAATATGTTATCAACACTCCTGCAGTAACATAGCCTGGTCAAAGTGACATGAATTTATCACTACTCACACTGACTTCTGTAATGCTGCACAGCATTACTTTGTACCAGGTACTCTCAAGAACAACTGAATACTTCATGAAGAGAAGGATGTGAATGGTTAAATCTTGCTAGAACCCCTGCACTGGGAAAGTGCCTATCCTATAAATGAAATTTGAGACCTGTGTGCTACAGGAGTGGATTTGCTATTCATACTGTTTGGATTTAAACCAGCAGAAGCAGGTTGGGACAGACATAGGTACAGCTGTCCTAGCTTTAATCTACTGTCTGAGAAGTGTTAACTAGACTCTAAAAGTTTACACAGGGTCAAGGAGGACTGGATAAAATAAGAGGAGAAGAACACTAAGGGTTACTAAACATACAGAATCTGCATCTGGCTTGGGAAGTTCCCGAGTTGAAAACACTCAGAATCTAAGAACATAGTATAGAATAGTATCACACATGCTTACCCTGTTCTTACTGGCTTCTCTTAGCATTTTCTAGTGGCCACTGCTGGAATCAGGATATAGATTTGGTTTAATGAACTTCTGGTCTGATCCAGTAAGGCTGTTCTTGTATTAAACCTTAAAGCCTAGTATCTAAGAGCAAATCAGTCACCACCACTGTGGAATAATTACTAAAATCATCAATAATACAGCATTGTTCAGACATTAAGGAAAGGTATAAAATCAAAAGGTTTCTAGGGCAGAATACAGCCACAGCTGGTATGGAAAGAATCCGCTACATCTGCGATTCCCTGTACAGTATTGCTTGCAAAGCAACACGGGGAGTGGAGTGGGGTGGAGACTCCAAGGCCAAACCCTGTGATAATCCAGCAAACATGGGAATGAGATGGCACCGTGGAACTCTAAGAAGAAAAACAGTGCAGAGGATGGAGCGGAGTGGAGACACCACGGCCAAACTCTGTGGTAAAATAGGAACTTGAGGACCAAATGGAACCCTTGAAGGTCTTATGGAACTGATAAGCTGCCTACTTGTTACCCTGAGCCAACAATCTGTCATTTTTTGATGAAATGCTGTCCTTTGGGTGAACTTCACTCATTATAATGTCATTCTAATACCAAAACACACCTCCATCCCAAAGTCTACCCGCCTCCAAGGTGCAACCACTCCTCCTTGAGTCTGCGCCCCGAATTTTTCGTAAACTATACCTTTAAGTGAGAGGTGAGAAAATTTTACACCAATCATAATGAAATGACTAGAGTCTATGACTGGAGTCACTCAAACTCCACCTTGAAGATAAAAAATAGTATAAAAATAGCCCAAGAAAGGGGGGATGTTAGGGAAGACACCATCGTGAACAAGTCGAGAACTCCATCACTGACTGCTTTGACTTCTGGGATCAGTCAACGGGCTGAACCTCTCTTCCCCCCCTAAGGATGCTTGCGGGTAAGATTGGAACACTCGGCTATACCAAGTGCCTCCCCAGGAAACTTAGAAATCTCTATAGAGTTGTTTTATAAGTTAGTGCATTTGTAGCCGAGCTATATTACTGACATCTTTAGTATTTGCACATGCTTTGCAGACAGTCACTATCACCTGCAATCCAAAAGAACTGTGTATCTGTTGCTTAAATAAACTGCACTGTGTGCAGTGAACACGACCAAAGAGTGGCCGTGCTAGTTCCTGAGCATGACAGGGCTGAAGGTGCAGTCCGCTATTAGTGTATCCAAAACTGTAACAGTTTAATATATATTAACGTGCCCGTACTGATAGTGGTGAATTGGGCATCACTCAGAATTTAAACCCAGCCGCCCCTAGCCTCCCACCTCGGTGAGGAGTGTTAGAACGCAAGGGGGTTTATTTTCTGCCAAAACTACTTCGCCCCTTAACGCAACAACCACCAATAAACAACATTAATGCTTTCACAATAAGCAGGAAAAGGGTAGGTACTTGCAGTGTTGTGACAGGCAATGAGAGAGAGCAGGAGTAGAGTTCCCTATTCCATGGTTCCCGGTGTCTCCAGGTGTCGTGTGTGCTGAGAATATTTGTTCCCACACAGGCTACTGGCCAAGACAGCCTGCTCACATGCTGGAGACACCAGCACAAGTGAGGAAGCCACACGGACCAGCTCTGAACCTGCTCCCCTCGTCTCCCCAGTCCTATTCCATATTTCCAGCTTCATCTTCCTTTCAACTTAACTTTCCCCCCACCTGAAATAACCCAAGGACAAATTATTTGAAATTTGCTCTGCTCAATATGGACCTCATCGAAAGAGAACAGAAACATTTCTATTTGCTTCATTAAGTTTTGGAATAGACTCTGGAACAGCGCATTCCAAGTTAGCATTCATGGGAAATGCAGTTCAAATGCTTTATAATAGTCATTTCATCCCGCAAGTTGTCATATCTCTGCTCCAACCTGGAATACTCTTTTACCAGGTTCTGATAACGAGAGGAAAGAGAAAACTAATACACTCAAACTCCTGAACCTAACCTATTGATTGAAACTATGTGAAAACATTTGTGCTGGGTCAAAGCCAGCTGAAAAGCCTCAGTAGTTTTGACTAATCCACGAGTAAAAATATTTGGTAGACATCAACTCCTTGGTTTTGCTATGCTAAAGGATGTTATTTCCAAATGCAAACCGCTTTTCCCTTCATTATTCGTTTTGGGACTAATATGAAGCTTGGTAAAGTGGTAAAGTTGAATTTCAATCTGTGCTTGGGCTTGTTTCCTTTTCACATTCCCTTCCAACTTTTCACATTCAATGCCTATTTAATATTTGCCTACAGTGACTGAGTACCCCGAATTTCCTGGCAGAGCTGAGAAGACACTCTCTAGTACTTGATTTTGTTCCTGTTTCTATTGTTTGTTCTGCATTTAAAATTCCTTCAGACACGTCTTGGTATTTGGATATTAAAGTTCAGGTTGCATTACAGTCAGAACTATCTTCCAGTTACTGGTATCTCCCCCGCAGACCCTTGACAAATTCAATCTATATGAGCCCACTACAAAGCACTAAAGCCATCTCATCCATAGAGATAACATTAACATGCCACTGTTTTCTATAGAAGAAACAGATTTTTCACACTTCTATTAGACTAGATTCTACCTGTCCATATATGAACGGTTACATTGAGTGTCCACTAGCAGCATCTATGCAAATAAGAGAAAAAGGGAAAATTTCACTATCACCGAAGATACTCCATGGTGATGATATGAAAAAAGGAGCTGAAATAGTTCCCACATTCCAGGCTGAGCCCACAGGACAGGAAGTCAGAGAAGGGTGTAGCCATTTTAAAATGAACACCCTTAAACAAAATTTCTGGAGACATTAGATTTTACCCATTGTAACACAGAGGTAATTCAGTAATAGTTCAGAGAAGCTCAACATGAAATCAATGTGTAATGTAACAGGGAACCAGTTGCACGTAAAAAAGTTAAAGCAGACTTCAGTTATGATGTTGCATCAGCTTCTGTTCTTGTTTTTGTCTGATAATGATTCTCCATTTTAGAAACGTTTTATCTACAAGTGCTGTCTCTTGACTCCTAGAAACAAAGGAAGACTGACCACAACCCATGCTAGCACTTAGGCAAGTACTTTGTTGAACACGTGCATAATCTTGGAGACGTCAGGAGGATACTCATGTGCAACCAAGTTAAGTGTGCTTATCTGTTTGCAAGGTCACTGCAAGCCTAACTGAATGCAGAATAATTGTAGAGAAACCAACTATACCCAGTCCCTATAAAAACACTCATAGCAAACATTCTCAGCTCATGTATTCCTGCGGCTGATCACGAATATGAATCTAACACTATCACACCTAAACCAGGGCTTGGCACAGGCCAGCCAACACTGACATCTCTCAACATCTTTTAAAAATGAAGATGAAAACAAGAAGCGAAGTGAGCTGTAGCTACTGCTGAATAATGACAAATGCACAATCACTTCATCCTTGATGGATGAAAGTGCCCCAGAATCCCACAAGGAAGAAAAACTGAACAGAATTCTGAAAATTCAAAACACTATTCCTAAAATTTGGGGGTTGTTCCTGCAGTGCTATAACAGCATTTACACAGCACTACTATGGGTTTTCAGTAATTAAGAACACAAGTACCTGCAGCCTCCTCATGGCTTCCGAGTCATGATCAGCCTTCACTTTGCAAGCGACAAGCAACTGTGCTGTAGAAGCTGCCACTTGTTTGGCAGATGAGATGAGCTTCTCCTCACTAGCGTGGCCTTGTACTGAGGCATTAGCTGCTTCACAGAGATTGCTGGTTGCAGCTGCCACCATTCGGGCCTAGGAGACAGTAAAAAAGTCACCGTGTATTCTCACAGGATATTATTTCTTCAGAGAAGGTGCTAGTTTTCCTTAAGAGAAGTTGTTACTCACAGCGGAAATAAGTCCCTGAGACCACTGTCCATCATCAGCTGCATTTGCAGGGATTGCTCCAACCTGAAAAAACAGTTCAGAGATGTCTTACAATGAAACACAAAATACAATTGCTTTGTCTCATATTTAGACAAACAGTAATCCCTGAAAAAAGGAAACACCTGCACCTGTGACTGTAGCCAGCACATACAGGAGCAGAAAATCCAACTGAAAGTTAGTTGTCAGAGTAAACGTGCTTCCAGCACCTATCTGCCTGCTCATGTAGTGTCCAACTTGCTATGCTGCTTGAATTGTCCCATCCTTGGAACATGTGTAGAAGTCCTGGAGTAATGATTGTTGCAGCCAAGACTTTGGCCTAAGCAACAGTTGAAGCAGTAGTTCCTAATCTCCCCACCTTTAAAATAACTTATTTGTGTCTCCACAACACATCTGTATTTACATCATTCCCGAATCTCTTCTGATTCTGGCACTATGGGAAGGTACAAAACAGAAAGCTCCACAGGGAAGCCCTCTAACTGCCTTAATGCCTAATTTGAGGAAAGCAGCCCATTTTTCTGCCTGGCTCATCCATTGAAGTGTTCATGGTATCAGCAGTACTGGCAATAATGAGGAGACAGCTTTCTTCTCACGTCAGATGAAAATAATGAAACAGAAATCTACAGTTGGTTGCCAACTGCCTGTACATGGGAGTTTTTGGGAGAGAAGGCGGAAGATGTGAAAAGTAAAAACTTGTATTTTAAAAGAAATGGAAGCGGGGATTCATGCATAATGAGGATCCCAGGGATCGGAATCGAATCCTTATGTGTATTATCAACATAAACAGAAGATGTGTTGTCTCATTGCTGAGAAATCAGGTATACAAAAGAATGCACTAGGTCCCCGAATTCTTTAGGTTTCAAGGTTTTCTTGCCTAATCATGCTGAGAAAACATATTTTACGTAGAGCACAGATGCAGGAGTATAGTTAGGGGTGTCTGAATTTTGTGTGTGTGCATATGTGTGAGTGAGTGAATAGGGGGGTGTTGTGGAAAGGAGAGAGATCAGATCCAACTTCCCAGACTTCATCGATACTGCAGAAATGGAAATGGTTGCCTAACACAAAATTCATTCTTTTATAACAATTCCACAGGAGAAAGTAGTTTCACGTAAAACTTCTTTAACAAACTCTTCAACTATAATATTGCACCAGTTTGCCCTGTAAGATACTTTCACAGCCTTTACCAAACAATGTTGGAAATTTTTTTGGGACAAGAACGTGCCTGGTTCGCACACATCCATGCAGTTGGGTAAAAACTTCTCACTGCCTCCACACCAAATAAGAAGGTCAATGAGAAATCTAAGCCAATAGTCAGTACAAGTTACTGTTCAGTACTGCAGTGATGTATGTGGAAGAGATCCATCTTGTCCTTCCCACCTACATGCCAGCCATCCTCTTCTGAGGGGAGTCCATACCACATGCCTCAGAAGGTTTCTTACAACAGCAAAACATTTTCTGCAGTATCAATAACGAAATCTTCCTACCAGGCAGGTTGGAGCCATTCACTATGGGCACGAATTTGGTCAGTCATTTTAGAAGGCAGGTTTCTGTACTTCTGGCTGACCTGGAGATAGAGGCTACCCCAGCAGCCAGAGGATACCCCATAGTGACAACTACCTAAGCACTAGGGATCAGTAGAGAAAGAATAGAAGGAAAATGGATTAGGGCTGCATTATTTCAGAAGTGTTTCAATGGCTTACTTGATTTGTGAGAAGTATCATAATGAGAGGATGTGTCACAAACAATTCTGAAATCTGACGCTTCATTAAATTTTGGTTAGGATTAAGTTCTTCTCTTGAAGACTGCAAATAAAAATATTATTTGCAGATCCTCCGAGCAGGCAAGAAACTATAAGTAAAAGCCATTTGCTGCAAAATTTCCTGATCTTTCATCAAGTTACTATAGAAGAGTGACGGATAAAGCCAAATGGCTAAATTCAGTAAAGCAGGCTGAACACATCTGCTAATATGGCACTATATTTGACAGGTGTGCTTCTGTTAGAACAGCAAGCTACACCCTTCCTCAGACAGACAGATTAAAGTGGTCTTAGCAATTATCTGAACTTGGATGGAATAGGATGCAAGTGCTGTTAGCCTCAATCTGAAAGACACAAATAGAAATGTATCTGTGGGAGCAAAGAAGCCAAAACTACCTGAAGGAGACTCAGGGCTGGTACCAGGATAGAAATACATTCTGTATTATTCTGTATAACAGTACAGTGGTGGCGGTGGTGAGGAAAGTAAGCAAGCTGTACGTCACAATGAAACTAAATAAAAACAAGTCTTATCACATGAAAGCAGACTACACGATAATCTAAGTGAAGCAAGTAAGTCAAAATTCTCATTTTTTGGACTGTCTCCACAGCCAGATTTCAATGGGTATTAATAATGTCTTGTTTTAAGCATTATTGATAAGTTCCAGAGCTATAGCTTATGGTGGGTCTTTTCAAACAATTACATCATTATTGTTGTGAAACAAGCGCTCTGTGCTCCTGCTGCAGCTAAAAGCAAAAGCTCCCCAGGAATCCTAGCTGAAGTAGACAGCATAGCGCTTTTGTGACAGGATCCATGACACAGTCTGCTCAGAATAAAAAATTAGATTAAATTGGAAACCATAACTATACAACAACAACGATGCTATATCTCACAGGCAACATATCTGTTTGATGGTCAGATTAAGGTTCAGAGTATATTAACCGGGAATAAAAACCAGCGTTGGGTTTGAAATTAATTACAAAGACATCAATCCTGACCAGACCAAAAGGATGACACATGTTATAAGCCCTCTTTCCATTGGTCCCAACAATAATTACAAGCACGTCCACTTAAATGTACTGAATTTGCATGCAGGCCTGTGTCCCCATTGAATCAGACAATAAAACATTGAGGGCACAATGAGTGAGGCCCTTTGCTATTCTGGTCCAGAGTGGTACTGTACACTGTGACATTTGTTTTTGGATACTCAAGCTGTCTTATGGGACTATACATTAATAGCTTGACCCACAGATCTGAAAAAAAGAACCAAAACACAACCCAAAACCAAAAACCCACAAACATAAAACCTCCCCACAGCTGAAATATCTGAAGAGCCAAACTCTTGATTACACTTGCGAGGTTTAAATAAACATAATTGTAGTGTTTGCTTTGTTTAAACAGAACCAAGCCGGGGCCAGGTAGTGTGATGAGCAATGAACAGATTTAATTTTTGTTAGTTATTCTCAAGCTCCTTTCCAACTGTTTTAACAGAGGACAGTTAAGAGACTAGATTCAGTTTTGATGCTTCCCCCCGCTCTACTGTTGCTACTTGTCCCGTTTACCCACCTTTCCCTGTGCCACCAGTTCTCTCTGGGCTGCTGAAGCGGACTTCACAAGGGCACTGGTAGCAGCTGCAATGGATTTAGCTGCTTCCAGGATCTGTTCTTCGAAATCCAGAGTCTCATCTGCTTGCTATAACCAAGAAAGAATGACGTCACACATTATTCACCTGAAAGCAGTTGTATTTTCAAGATTGAGGACATACGCAAAGTGAGACAAGATTTTGGAACACATCAGTAAATTCAATGAGACCTACATAATTTTCTGCAAAGCAGTTTCATGCGGTCTAACGCTGGGAGTCAACATAAGTGAATTTAAATATTAAGTTGCCCTTGTGGCTGCTCACACATGAAGCTGAGTATCATGCAAGATACTTAAAGAATTGCCTTCAACTTTCTCATAAATTACCTCCATTAGGACTACTCAAAGCTACATTCAGCAAAGCGCAAGTCTGAAAATAAATTGTTGTTTTTCCCTATCAAGATTGTTTTTATAGCGCTACAATACTGGCTTCCAGGGTTGCTAACCTAGGTAGAGCATCTTCTAAATGACTAAACACTTAAAGTGTTAAAAAAGAACAGTGATAAATGTATACTGTCTCATTCACCTGTACTAAGAAATGTAACAGACACCAAGCAAGAGCACAGATTTAACAGCTTTTGGTAAAAGCTGTCATTTCACAGAGAGCAGCATTGTGAAGCAGTCCAGTTTAGTCATCTTGGAGATAGGAGGTTCCAAAGGTCTGTCTGGAACACTTCAGTCATCCAAAGAGGTCTTTCAACGAGCATGTGCGAATAGAGAGATCAGCTGTTCCTAAGGAGGTTTCTTGCTATTTAAAAATGCAAATTTATTGTTCCATAAACCAACAACTTCCCTGACTTTCTAACCATTTAAACAAATACTGAAAACATGTATCCATTTAAGCGTGATTGCTAGCTCCTGAACAGTTAACAAAATAGAGATAAATGGTTATTGTTATTTTAAACAGGGGCAGGCCTGGGCCATGTATTCTGATTTTATTATTTATTTATTTTTTTAATACAAAATAACCCAACAGAAGGTATTTTGTTGATCAAGCCTACCAGAATCTAATGCAGTATGACCAGTAGGGCTAGTGGAGACAATACCAGAACAGACCACCTTGTGAGAGATGAGGCTTTTCAAATACAAGCTTCTTCCAGCTTATGCAACCACAGCATTCTTGTGTCAAATAATTAACTTTAGGGACACCAGCTAAGTGGGCTTTGAGATAGAAAACTGGGCACTTCATTTGCAAGTCTAAGTTCACTCCTCTCAATTTAAGTCAGGTTTAGTTCTCCTGTTACTGCAATCTGATGAAACAGTAGTCAATTACAAAATAGAAGATAATGATGAGTAATTACAAATCATTACAAAATGGCACATGCATCAGTGCTCCGTCCTACAACACTTCACATAACTGCCACAGAACTAAAACAAAGTCCAGGAGATGAAACCGTAGCATCCATAGACACCAGAAAAACTTAAAGATCTGAAAATAAAAACCTCCCATGGCAGGGAGGTTGGAACTCGATGATCTTCAAGGTCCTTTCCAACCTAAACCATTCTATGATTCTATGAAGTTGTTCAGCACTTTAAAGGTTTTCTTATCCTGTAGGAAAAGCCATCTAATTCAAGGAAAAGTATTATCTTGCCTTGCTATTGCGCTAATCCCATCAACCGAAGCATATGTCTTAGTATTAAGAGTATAAAAAATTGCTTTGTAAAGGGAGCAATGAATTTTTGGCAATGCTTGCAATGTAACATCATGACCATCATTATATCTAAGTTGTAATCACATTGGTCCTGAATTTATGCAACAGGCCTTGTCTTATTTATAAAACTCTTACTTCAATCACGACATCACAAAACCAAAGTGACTAAAGGGAATTCAGTATAGTCACTACCAGATTTCTTTTCGTTATTAAAATAGATGCATTGTTGACTTTGATTTAAGTTGACTAACTACTTTAACTGAAATAGCCACAAAAGTTCCACTGGATGATAGTCAATTTGACAGACACTTACTGCACTTTTACTTTTGTCCAAGGCTACCTGTTATTGATAGTTTTTAAATTTTCATGTCCAACATAACGAAATAGTTATGTGTATTATTCTTGATATCTCAGCATTGTCAGGAATTCAAACTTAAGCAAGTAAGCATTTCAGTATCTGCTTATTACAACAGAGGCGTCATTCTTTCATAAAGTTTAACAAAATGCCCATGGCCATACTCTAATCTATTATGCAGCCATGTATGTGCCCAGATGGTATTCAATTTGTGAAAAAACAACCACCAAAAAGAGGCTGAAGAGAAGTAATTGTTTGAACACAGTTCAGCATAGTGAGTGGACTACATATTGCACATAAGTGCTAAGCAAAAATGACTACTTTGAAAGGGAATGCAGACAAATAAAATTACGGAGCATGCTATTGTACAATGGCTGGATTAACTTTCCCTGTGGAGAAGAAGGAGCTCAGCAGTAAAACACATAGCTAAACCTTAGTATCTCATCACGTAACAGATTCCCCCGCCCTTCCCGCAGTGTACCAAATGAATTTCTTTCCAATTATATTGAAATTTAGCTGGTGAGGAGAAGAAACCACACCCTGAGTTTCTCAAACTTCCAAATCCTACATTTCCTGTCATCTCACAACTTCTTTTATTTCTGGAAAAAAAGAAGAAAGTTTTCTATTGACAGTTGATCCCTTCTGTGGAGAAGAATCGGCCTTACACAGCATTCAAACTGTGGAACTTATGTTGAGTTTTCACTTTTCCTAACAAATCCTTGTTTTCTAGTCCTTCCCTACAGTTTTCCCTTCAGCATTCCCAGGTATCTCGGGTACTGATGAAGAAGCCCTTCATGTATATATTTCAAACCAGATTAGATAAGAGCTCTGCAGGAAGTCTTCTAAACCTGCTTGTGAGTGAACGTACTCCTTCATATTGCCTTCTACTATGTTAAAACCCCCGGAGACAGGGCAGGACACTGTAGGAATATGTTTGATATATAGTTGGATTAAATAACAACCTAATATATCAAACATATCACACAGAGTCCTGCAGAAAAAGGCATCCAGGTTTGATTCATCTTGGGGAAAAAAAAAAGGACAAACTGCTGAAAGCTAACAGCAGGGAACTCTTGTTGACTACTAAAGACACTTGTGTTTGAAGGCATAAGCCTACACAGAAGCATGAAGAGCGTACCAACAGAACAGGGTAGGTACAGCAATGCTCTCTGCTGTGGTACCTCATCTACCACACCTTTTCCTTAAAAGTGTTCTTTTTCCAGTATTAGTGAAGCATGTAGTTCTTATTAGACAAAATGTTTTTCTTCAAAAAATTACTAATTTTGGGGGGGTTATTATTTTACAGCCAGTGGCATATGTGTATAACAAGAAGAATATGTGGCTGCATTGCAAGACACCTGACCCTCCAAAAATGGAAAACGGGGTCACAGCAGTTGTATGGGACCAAGTAAGCGTCTTAATTGTATTTAAAAGAAATACAACATCCAACACTTGCTTAATAAACAATGAAGATCTCATTGCTTCACAGGTCATTCCCCACCTTGAACACCGCAATGAGAATACTGAATTTGTGTTACGGGGAGGAATAACATCACCTACTTAAGAGAGTCCTCAAAGTGCTCGCAAGATAAGCTCAGAAGAAAGACAGATATTAACAGGGTATCAGTGGGGCAGTGGACTAGCAGACTAAGCGTTTTAGGAGCACATTCACCAGCAGCCAAACAATCAGGATTTAAAGCAAACAGAATATGCATCGTACAATAAAACATGAGCAGCAGTTAGCAGGTCTGTGTCTTATTAGAGATTGTTCTCTGGTATAAGGTGATTCCCAGTAGTGGAAAATGAAGACATCCCATGCTATTGGTCTCAGTCTAAGACATCAAGGAGGTATGATAGGTGCAAAAATATGAAAAGAAAACAAGGATTAAAAAAATCCAAAAATATCAAAAGAATTAAGATAGCGGAACAAATGAGAAAAAACCCCTACCTTCAACTATTGATTTTTTTCTGTAGAGGTAACAGTCAAACCGGAACACACAACAAAAAATTTCAAGCCTAAATCAAATGACTCCCGCTCCGTGCCCCAATAACAGAAGCTTACCCCAAAAATAGAGAATCAGCCACCGATTAATAATGATGAAGATGACGGATTTCCTGCAGGCAGATTATTCTAAAATTACAAACTAAGGATATCTCTGCAAGTTCACTAGATGATGATTACTGTTAACCGAAGCAGGCTATTGGTCTAGCTGGACCAGAGGTCTGTTCCATTGTAGAAGACAGCTACTATTCCTGCATTTCCTAGACTACGCATAAGAAAAATCAATCGTATCAACTGCCTTACCTAGTCTAGGCATTCACACAACACCACTATGTATGCTGTCAGAGACGAGAATCAGAAAGATAGAGCGTGTACAACGCAGGAAACCCTACTCTGGGAGGATACAAGCCACAAGTCTTCAGCAGAAAAAGTGGTATTTGAGCCACTCTGATCTTCCTAGTACCTTTGATGTGTATTACAATCCATATTGCGAAAGGGATTAGCCACCTAAAAAATGATGTAAAGGCTGTTAAAATCCCAAATTAAACAAAACAGTTGGATATGAGTTTTAGTTTCGGGAAATGACAAATAAACAGACCAATAAATCACAGGCAGACTGGATACTCAAATTAACATGTTAAATGAGGAGCAGGTGTGACATCTGTATTCACTGGGAAATTACAATGACCCTGGAGTGGCTTAGATGTTAGAAGGAAGCTGCTCCATGGTTACTAGGCAACACACATATGCTATTGTGCAGTGATTGTATAGAAAAGGTGATGGAGGACTCTTCCTCTCCTCAAACTCAGCCTGTGTCCTCTGCTCTGTAGAATCTCATTATAAAGGACCATTTTTCTTTATAAACAAAATGGATGTACTTGTTAAAAAAAAAAAAAAGCGGGACAAAGAACATTTCTTTTTCATGAACTAATTTATTCCTATCACTAAACAGAAGGGGGTGGGTGAGAAATCCTCAAAGAGTGGAGCTACCAAGAACTATTTCATCTGATGTTCCTGAATGACAAAACACCACCCTGCACCAAAAACAATCATCCAACACAATGTTCTTGAGGCCCTGCTGTTTAGAAAGACTTCTCATTAGCTTTACTTAGAAAACAGTTTTGCACCTACAAAGCAGCATAAAAAAGAGATACATAGTCCTTTCCTGAAGTCAATTACACAGCCAAAGCATGATTTTCATTTTAAAGAGATGAAATTCTAGGCAACATGGTCATTTCTTCTAAAACCTGCCTGTTATTCCACACTAGGCAAAAGGTAGCAATTCTCTGTGATCCAGTCTTGTGAGCTAGGCATACAACCACAAGTAACAGCAGTTCCATATATTCTCTATGTATCACGCATGAAAATAGTTGGTTTAATTTTATATAATATATTCAGAGACACGTTTGAAATGACCTGGCAACATGCAACACGGCTTGCTTTCATTATGAACTGTGATTTCTTTTCCTTCAGGAAAATTAAATAGAAACGGTTATACCACATATCTGATTTGACACTGACACAGCTACTCTTTTAGCATGGCATAAAATGCTCTGGTTTTAATCTTAGAAAATCCTGAAGGTCTTTTGCATTCTGCTGAATCGCTTCTGTGTTGCTGCTGCTTTCTCGTGCTATACTACACACATTCAGATGAGAACAAAGGGTCTTCAAAGGAAAGCAAGTGAGAATGACTTTTCACATCAGTAAAATGTGTTTGGAAAAGTAAGTAATCAACAGTAATGATACTGTAACTCTGAAAAGCATTTCTAACGTTTGGCTTTTCTTCCTTTGCTTGCTCATGGCTGGTGCTTGACTCACCCTGAAAAGCATCTTTTTACCTTCTTCCTTCAGGGGTAAGTCCCATCCAGTGCAGTGTCTAGTGGCACTGAGACCGATCCAAGGTTTGATTGTTTATACCATTATTGTGGACAGTAACAAAGTACACACCAATATAGGGGCTATATGCATCTTCTGCTTCATTAACTTCAAAGAAACAACGGGGATGGACACTCACCTTTGGCTTGGCTCTTGGTTTCAGCTGCTCTAACTTCTTTGCTGCAGCCTCAATTGACGCCGCAGCCCCTAGTAGCTCTGTCTCTGCAATGACTGTTGGGTCTTCTGGGTCCACCCACTCTGTCCCTGAAATTAATGGAGATGAAGACAATAACTTGAGTGCCACTGTGAGCTGCCATTCAAAGAGGGTGATTTACAAGCACACTTCAAGTGTCAAATACCAAGTGTACATCCTAGAAAGCTGATTTTAGTACCACAACGGCATAAAAACATTGTCGCTTATGCCACTGAGAGCAAAATATAAGTCAGCATGAAAAAACGTATTTAGCAGGATTGTTCTGTTACAAAAGTAACTTAAGAACTGTAAGCAAAGCAGCTTCAAAAAGGGATACTGTCTATACTAGGAACAAAACTAGCTGTCACTCTGATCTGGTTTATCAGAGCTCTCACTAAGATGGTTTCTAACTTGACCAAGTTGTAAGGTACACTGAGAAGTCTGACAGACTGGTAAAGAGGACATGTTATAGACAACAGATAATCATCCACAGCATACTTTTCAGAGTCTCTTTTTTGGCAGTGGTTAGAGATGAAGCTAGTATTGAATGAAGAAGGCATGCTTTTGGCAATGTGTTTCTAGCAGCAATGTAGAGAAGGCCAAAGCAGTTTCTGTAACATATCCAAAGGCCAACTTTCTGTTTGTCTTTCTGTTGAGTTTTTGGCATTTCTCTTGGATCAAAGAAATTTTGTAGGTCCACAAAATGAATACTTGGCTGGAGGTGATCTCAGATTTTTGGAAGTTCTCGCTGCATTATTATTTTCAATTTCATACAGTCATGCTCTGGATGACAAAATTCAAAAAGCATCCGTCTTCCTGATTGAGGGAAGCAATGAAACAGCCAAAAAGAAAATCAGATGGAAAAAGAAAAGGAAACTGGAAAGAAAACTAAAGGTCTTAACTACAAAGGACAAGGAGAGAAAGTGGTGTCACAGATGGAAACAGAAAAGGATGGGAAGCAGTGTACACCGGGCAAAGAATCAGCTAGAATGAAAAAGAAAAAGGGAAAAAAGAAATCTTTTAAGGCCTTGTTAAACTTATTGAAATAGGATCAGAAAGTTTGGGTGAACCTAACATTAAAACAGCAACTCAAACACTAATTTTTATTAAGGAAGAGTAACTAGGGAGAAGAATACCAGCACTTTGCATCAGGAATAGCGTAAGCCATGTCTGATCAAACATCAAAGGAAATATCTTTGAATGCTTATGGATCAACATTGCACCAGCTAAAGAATGAGGCAGTTTCTACTATGGATAACCAAACAAGGGGAGAATACAAAATGACTGGTTCCTATTTATGATGTGCTGGGAGAAAGCTAAAGTACATGGTAGTGTAATCCTAGTGAGCTACGTTTCATCCTGCTAATCCCTATATAGTATGTATATATGTATTTTGTATCAAATATCAAAAAATTACCAAAGACAATTTCTCAGCTCAAATGGTGCACAAGATGAAGGAATTCTATATTAATCCCTAATATTGGCAGATAAGTAGGGGAAAAAATAGTTTTGATACAGGCAAAACCAAACTTGTAAAATGTAGCAGTTCCTTTTCAAAAAAAGGCATTTTTACACAGGTGAAAACACATTTACATACTAAATTGGTTAAGGGACAGAATTTTATCATGTATCTATAAATGAAAATTCGGAATGAAAATTTGGAATGGTTAAAAAACATTTTCATTTCCCCAAAAAAGCTTCTAAAGTGAATTAAAAAAAATCCCCTACAGGCAGTAAGTGAGAAAAGAAATTAAAAGTGAATTTTTATTTTAATGAATATGAATTAGAATTCAAAAATACTGGAAATGAATAGATGTCTCCAGAGATGAGGACAATAAAAAGATTTTTAAAAGCATTTAGGGAATAGAAAAATTATGATATTGGTTTGACTTGTTAGCTATTGGAAATGGAAATTTTGAAACATAAGGAGTGCAGAAAAGGCTCAAGAATTCAATAATTTACCTGAACAGGAAAAAAGCATAATGTAGACCAATGTTATATGAAACAGAGCAACTATATTAAGACATTGGGGGGGGGACGGGGGGAAGTAAGAAAATAATAAGGGATTCCCATATATGAAAAGTGTTTAGTCACAATTCTTTCCCAAGGAATGTGTACTGATAAAAGCAAGAAATAACTGAGGAAAACATGCAGAGTATGTTGCACAGAATATCAGAAAAAACGAGTATAGTGATTTCTGGTCTAGCTTAGGAAAGAAGGATTGAACAAATATGAATTTACTAAAAGCCGGGGGAGGGGTGAGGAGGGCAGGGAACAGAATTAAAAGTTATTAAAATGCTTTCTTCAAAATATTTCACTGTAGCTTTGTATTACCCATGACACTAGAATGCTCATATGTCTTTCTGATGGCTGTGAAGATTTCTTTAGACTGAAGTTCCCAGTAAATCTGGTTTCAGCAGTAGTGGTCTAATATTTAACAACACCACCCTTAATACATATTCATCTCATTTAAAATGTAGAATATTAGAACGGTTGTCCTAAGAGCTCGCATGCATCACTGGATAAAAATTTTACCAAGGAAGTCAGTATCTGAGAAAAATATCACTCATCTGTTATAAGAACAGAGAGTTTCTGCTAAGCAATGGAATTCATCACTTAAAGTGCTGAATTTATATTTGTCCACAATAATTCCAAGAGTTCAGGAAATTCAATTCTAAGAGTTCATGAATTATCCAGACCACAATTTTCTGAAGTCTCATTGTTTCATTAACATACTTTGTCAGGGCAGGACGCAGACAGAGGACTGTAAGCACTATAGACCTGAAGTTGACATCATTGCTAGAGGCTGAGTATTAATTCAGTAAGATGATGTATATGTATCCCCTTTTATTTGAAGTTGGAAAGAAACTATCACTGCAAAGCAAAGGAGTTCTTTTGACTGAACAACCATGACTGTAAGGAAAGGGACCAGCCATCCGATTAGAATTCAGCCACTAGTTCAAGAGGAGTGATATTGTACTTTGTTTTCTGCTCCTGTGGCTCTTGAGAGCTCTGTTTGATGGTTCCATCTTCAAAGGCTGCATGATTTACAGACTTACGACTGATCATATGAAGTGGGAGGGGGTCAAATACACGAGTTTACCAAGACTGTGAATAACTGAACACCAGCAGAGAAATTAAAAGAATGGAAGTAGGTGGTACCAAGACACCTAGAACATACTAAAAAGTTGTTTGGGTTTTTTTGAGGTTTTGTTTTAAACTGCAAATATGACAGATCATCATCTCTGGAGTAAAAAGCGCACCATACTGGTAGCCAGGCTGCCCAACTCACCTTTCATTGCTTCTGCTGACTGGATGAGCTCTGTAACAGCACCAGCAACCCGCTTGGAGAAAGAGGCCAACTGATGCTTTAGTTCTGGAGTTGGTTTTTGAAGGATCTAGAGAAAGAGATAAAACGTAATAAAGCATATTAGTAAGGATTCCAGAGAATGCTGGAACATTCCCAAGGCACACTAGTGAAAGATTTATGTGATGCAGCAATTGGCTGAGAGAAAACATGAGTACAGCAAGATAAATACTATTGTCAATGAATCTAGGAGGAAAGGCTTACACTGACAGGCTCAATGTCTGACACATACTAGGAAAGTGGGACTACCTTGCATTTGTACAGGAACGGACGCTATTGACTGGAGGTTCTCAGTACTAAAACTAGGACAGAATTCTCTAAACCAGAGGTGAGTATGTAGGAAGAATATGTAGCTTTAGCACTCCATTCTCAGGTATTATAGTCATTATACTTGCGCTTCAGGCTTAGTCTTTCTAAACTGCTGGAGTGGAGCTGATTTTCTAGTATTAACAAACTGGTTGGTCACTATTTCTATGAAATAGAATTACAGAGTTGTGCAAGCGAACGCTAGTTGCCCGTTCTGGAAAAAAAAAAAATCAGCAATGGTGAACACAATGGAAATGTCAACCCTGGGAAAGACCCTTAAATAGAAGGGAAAGACAGACACTTCTGAACTGAATTAGCATCAAGTATTAAACTGTGCTTCTTCAAATAGAAAACAGTCAGACATTGAGTTCTTCCCCTGAACAGGAATAACATTTGCATTTTTAGTTACCATATTGTATGGAGAAGAAATATTAAGTTCTGGCAATTCATGTATACTCAAAAACTACTTCTGAAGAGTGACAGATATATAGAGAGATTGAAGAGCAAAATAAGAGGTTGAGTCTTGAAAGTCACATTCAGGTGTGCATTTTCTTAATGTTTTCAAGAACTGCCCCACAAAGCAGCTCTGAAAACTAAGGCGTATGTTGAAAACACATTTTAACTTTTGTAAGCGCGTTTCCCATTTTGCAGTCAAATGCCAAGCCCCTCACTTTGACAGAATAAACTAAACTGAATTGTTTTCTTAACTTTGCCTGGTGAGAACTCTGCCACACGAGGAATTCTCTCTCTTTGGAACTGCCACATCAATGTATGCATGGACTGGTCTCCTGTTTCCTAATGATGAGCTTTAGTCAACTAGCATCCATAGTAAACAGAAGTACATGCATCCTCAATAGCTAAACAATCTGCAACACTAACAAAATGTAACACCACCGTTATAACCAAGGTTTATACACTGCATAATCCCTTAGTTTGGCAGAAATTGAGCATCTCAAGGGTTATCTTCCCACACAAGCAAAAATGTCCAAAAATACATGAACATGGTCAGGATAGCAAAGAATGACATTCTGTTCCAGCAACTGTGACACTAGTGCTACCTATGAGAGTGGTGACAATGTTGGAATTGAACAAATGGATGCAAATTTTAAAACTAGCCAGTTTACAAACTGTATTGTTTTAAAGCCTATTTAGAACTCACAACAGATTATCATCCCCTGCAGAATCACATACAGGCACGGCATGAGAACAACAACAAAAGCTTCAGACTTCCTCCTCAACTCAGCATGCACCAATACTGACCGAGGTGGAGCACACGAATGTAAGGAGGGCAGGTCAGTCTAACCTTGCTAAGAATATGACCTTCAAGTTGTTTTATACGAATTTGTGCGTGCCCAACAGCTTCAATTAGTGTGTTCCCACACTCTACCCCTAGCTAGGTGATTAGGGAAATATTCCTTTGAGCAATCAAGACAGTTTTGTGCCACTTGTCCACTTAAGTCAATACACTGGCTTAAGAAATCTTAGATATTGCATCTGACAACTCTTGCACCTAAAAAGTGTCATCTCCTTGACATCCCTGTGTCGAGGCACCCATGCAGTCATCCCTGGCCTGACTAACAAGGGCGTAACTGAACTTACTAACAATTGTATCACAAGGTGCCACGTTGACTAATTAGAGATTTCTAAACTGCTTTTCTGGAGGTTATAAATTAAATGAGATTGTAGACCTAGGGGTTCTAAACTACCAGAGTAACAGGGATCAGGAAGCAACAGGATTGTCTGATGCTGAAACCATCTTACTATCGCTTTCCTATCGCAGCTCAGGTAACCACAGAACAAGCAAACAGATCACTCGGATTACATCTAGACTGTCTCTGCCACAAATCCCAAGAGTTAGAACTCGGGGGAAAGAGGGCAAAAGCCCCTAGAACAAAAAGTCTGTCATTTAGTTGGTTCAATGCTCCTCTGAAAGTGATCTTTTCTTCGTCTACTTTCCAGATCCTGTTTACATTTATGCAGTGCAGCATGGATATATTATGTGTGGACGTGACTAGTTCTAGACAGATTTCAGCAAAGAATCAAGATGAAATTACCACTCCATACATCTATCTTTTTTTTTTTTTTTTTTCTATGCAGGCATTATGCTCTTCAATTGTGGTTGTAATCTGGGTCAGAGTCAGTTTTCTAAGGCAGCGAACATTGCCGGGGGAGGGGAAACAGGAATTTTCTCATGACTTTAGGGCCCTGAAAGTAAAGCAGTTTAAGGCACGAAAGGCCTGTTCCACTTTATTGGAGGAACAGGCCTTTCTTATCGTAAGTCTCTTTACTTAGGCAGAGAGAGAAAGAAAACATCTAAAAATTGACTCAAGTCTTTGGTTTGTTCTGGCATATGGTTTGAAACAAGAACTATGAGTTCAGGAGACCAAATCTGAAAAATTCCCCTAAGTACTTCTAAACTAAAAATGGGTCACACATCTAATGCTAAATTAATTACTACTATGCAACTCTAGGAATTACATTAACAAGTTCAATCTTGCTTGAACTATCTTCCCCACTAGTGGCAAGCATAACTGTGACTTTACTTCTAGGTTATGTATATTTCAACTAGTTGATGTCAATGATTAGACAGGCTGCATTCTCAGCAGTAAAGCTGACTTGGATTTGTTCATCTGCAGTTAGTGGCTGCAAATTTCAGTTTCAGAGACTTTATATGTCCGCTTAAAGCCACTTAAAAGAAATCTCTGGGAGATGGTGATTTAAGTCTGATTGCTGATTTAAGTCACCTCCAGAAACTTCAATATCTCACAAATTTTAGTTCAAACACACATTATTGCTTCCTACAAATATAACAGCAAGAGAAGAACAATATATTATGTGATAGTTATGTATGGCCAAGAAAAGCCAACTGACAGCAGGATTCATGAGTTTGGATTTGAGTGGAGAAGTTTTATGCAGAGCTTTAGGGGTGTCATGTCTGGCATGAGTTGGAGAGCTCTTAGTAAGTCAGTGCTGGTTTAGGGTTTTGCGGTGGCACTGAGTAGGTGCCTCATTCTCCTGCAATCAGGGCTGCAAAAGGCATGTAAAAGTGCTTTCATAAAGATTATATTAACCTCTTTTGTCTGGGGGACAGGAGCGTGCCTAATATGTCTAATGCTTACAGTGGGCTTAAAAATATCGAAGCGTCTTATTTTGCTTTCTTTGTCAGGGACCATTTTTAGGTCAGGATCCATACTGCCTCCAGATCTGATCCAGAATTCAGTCCCATTTAAATACTTCCAGTCTTCCTACTGTCTCTCAGGTTTCTGAGTTTATTTCAGCTTGCTTTTCCCGATTAATAAAAATGTTCATAATCTTGTGACAAACTGATAAAAAGGTGTCACTAGCAGCCACTATAGAAAAATGTCAGGGAGATTGTTCTCCTTGGAAGGGATCTAGTATGTGCAAGCAGACGACTCCTTACCAGGAGAACATGTTCCAGGAGTTCCAAGTATCCCAGGGTACATTCTGTTCCAAAGCGCAGGGCTCTCTCTCGAACTTCTTCGCTCACATCTGGGTGATATGATGCTTGCTGAGGAGGAAAAAAACATTAGTACCCCAAAACTGCTCCCACAAGTGGAGGTCAAGAAGACAGAGGAAAGAGAAGGGAAGAGATTTTTCACGACGCGCGAATGACATTTGAGCTTGAGGGCCAGCTGTTTATGTTGTAAAGGTGTAAGCAAACTGTGCACAAAGAGCAGCAGAGCTCCAGTTCTGAGAATGGCATTGGGAACACTTTTCCTTTTATCAGCACATTCTCCTGTCTGGGTGTGCATCCACAGTCTTTCTTAGTGTCCTTCCTTAGGTATCGTCAACAGTAGTACTACTTCTTTCTACCAGTTGAGAACAAATAGAGAAACCCTTGAAGAACCACCTGAAAATAAAGGATGATATTCGATTTCTTCTAATGAAAAATATATCAATCGGAAAACATCTTGGGGCTGGAATGGGCTCTTGGGTTGTGTATATACTGTTCTACAGTACAAAGGCTATGTTATTGTGGCTCTTCTTTTTTTACTAATATCAACAAAAATAAGAATTGTAAGTGTAGTTTTGCTACCCACAAATAGCCATTTACATCTTAGAGGTAAGGTCCAGGCAGCCCTCAACATCCGAGCAAGCGCTGCTGTCAGCTGGGCCTGGAGCTGGTCTATGGGCTCCCTCTACCGGTAAGTTCAAGATCAGCGGAGCATAAAAACTACTCTCATTAGCCACCTTCATCTCTTCATCCTGTCAACAAACAGTCTGAAGGGAAAGATGACAGGAGGAAAGAGCATAGGATTTTCCCCATCTTCAGCAGACTTCAAAAAACCTCCAGAAGCCAAAAAATTCTAGAACAGCTTATTTTTCATTTTCAAATAGGGCAGAAGGATCCCCCAGTGTTTCATATTAATACATTGTAAGCACCCTAACATGCACTTAAATATTACTGTTACACATGCAATTAGAGCAAAAAAATCTGTAGGAGAGAAATATAAACTTCCTTTTATGTTTTGCATACCTAGCCAAGAATATTTTGGGAGCATTTTTAAGGTTCAATGAGTCTTAAAAAACAACATATACTTCACAGCAGACCAAAGAGGTGATAAAGTCATTTTAAGAAGACATTTTTGTAACCCAGAAACAGCCCAACAGAAATCTCACTGCACCAGTTAGGACTCACAACAGAAATGCTTACTTTTACAGATTTGCCCAGAAAGCCTGCTGAAGCATCTCAAACTGAGACGTGGCCAAAGAACCAGAATACACATTTATCTCCTCATGCCAAGGCTTCTCTTCACTATGAGCCCTCGTTTTCTCTTCACATACTTTCAGAACAGTAAGGCAGCAAGCACTGCTTGACTCTCCTACTACAGCTTCTAGCCCAGCACTGATGAACAACTTGTGGAAGTAAAATATACCGACGTAGTCAGAGTCAAAAAATCAGTGCTGTTTGAGGGAACCTGGTGAATTCACACAATCATTCAACTTCCCGCCTAAAGCTAGGTCAACATTAAATTCAGACCAGATCACTTAGGTCTTTGAAAACCTCCAAAGATAGAGATTGCATATCCTCATTAGGCCCAGGTCCCAATCCTTAATTATCCCCACAGTGGACTAATTGGAAGTGCCTATGTTTCATTTTTTGACCGTTGTGTTTCATTCCCCTGCCGTGCACCTCAAGTAAATAGCCCGACACTGTCTCCTCTCAGCAATCTCCCAATAGGTTTTAGAGGGTTACTGTGAGGTTCCCCCAAAGCCGCGTCTTCTCCAGGCTGAACAGACAGTTCTTCAGCATCTCCTCACAGGGCCTGTACTCCAGCCCCAACCATCTGGGTGGGCTCTGCTGAGTTTGCTCCAGTTTGATCAGTGCCTTTCTTCCTGTGGAAAGCCCAAAACTGGACACGGTATTCTAGATGCAGTCTAATGAGTGCTGAGAAAAGGTGAATAATCATTTTGCATAATCTACTGGCTATGTAATGATCTAAGCCATTATTCACTTCAATTAGTTTCTATGCTTTTGACGGACATTTTGTATGTTTCCTTTCCAACAGCAATCATTAAAAATAGTGATAATACAACACAGGTTACTTACTGCATACTCTATATTTTATACAAATAGGTAACTAAGACAGAAATTGTTATTATCTTAGAGCCTGCTTGTACCTTCAATAAATGTAATTACAGTGTTTCCACTGACTTTCATGAGAGTTGTCCTGGTTCATTATATCCTGCAATAATCAACCTCATTGTTTTTTGAAATGGCATCTACTTAGAAGCGTTGAATTAGTAACGAGCACTGTAAATTCATGTATAGCAGAACAAGCACAACCATATATGTAACTGCTAATAAGTCAAATCCCCTTATGCTACTTGCCTTAGGCAGCTGGCAATGAAATAGAACTGAAATTTAAATTCCTGACACCAGGGAAGTCTGAGCTACGTTCTATACAATTCTACCATAGATCACATCCATGCACTTTTATCTTAGCCCGAAGGACATCAAAATATGATTGTCAGTGCTTATTGTACAGACTAGCTTAATCACACTGGAAACCCCTCCAGCGCTTGTCAAGTATCACAAAACCCAAGTTGCCCTGCATTGCGCAGCCTTTACAGCATAGTGAGGCTAAGACTGCTGGTTCCTACCCCTAAAATTCAAGGGATGTGGTTTATCATGGAAGTGCCATGTACAGTAATCAATTTGTAGAAATTAATGGCATAAGATTCCCAGGTCTCTGAGCAAAATTTGTAGAAACAGGATTTTCTAAATGAAGTCTGGTACAAACTGTATATTTAAAAGCTTTGTTGAATGACATGATTATTTTGTCATACATTTTAGATAGTGCATAAAATTAGTATACCTTGAGACCTTTATTCCTGTTTGCCCAGTAACCACTCTCGATTTTAGGAAAGCTAGACAAGATAAAACTAGATCTTACTCCTTGTCAGTGTATCATTACAGGTAAGTAAAATGATTCCCAACCATTTTCCTTCCGTAGATTGCTTTTTCTTTGTGAAGGTAATTCCCTGGGAAATCACAAATGCTTCTCCAGCACCCCAGACCTCCATTGTTCAGTTTGCAGGAAGTTTCATCCTGTCAGCTGCTTGCAAGGCATGAACTCCAAAACCATTACATTAACCGGGACCAAATGTAAACGTAAAAAGATGAATGTTCATAATTGTATGTTCAAAATTATGTATCGGGCTGCATATTGCGTATGTTTATAACATTTTTGGAAACGGGATTTTGTTCCTGAGAATTTGCTGCCTGTTTGGAGAGATCGAAACAAAAATGTGTCTGCACTGGCCACTTCCAAATGACAAAGGATGTTTAATGCCCATCAGCATCTGAATTCATGCCTGAATTGATTTGTCAGAATGTCACACAACTGTGATCTGTTCTTAGCCTCCCTTAGCAGTTTCAATTAACTGGAACACACCTAATACATACTAGGCTACAGTATTTCTCATGTAGGTAGCACAGTTGGTTAATTTTCCCATGCAAATGAGCGCTGCTTTGTTTTGTTGACCTTCTGAATTTATGAAGTGGAGAGAACAAAATCAAAATGTGAAGCTTGCAAAGTAGTCAAGAACTGTCAGACACTAAAATCCCTGTCAAAAAACAAAGTAAAAATAAAAAATTTCCTACAATGGTTTTCTATAAATCCAGTTGTAAGTTATGTTAGAATTTGCACTTTCATACACGGATCATTTTAAAAAGGAAATTACCCCTTCCACCTGGGCGGTATTAGGCAAAATATTAACGTGGGACTGACACAGGCAGTTAGTATTTGACCAAATACTGAAAATCAGAAGCCTCACAGAGAGTACTTGTCATCTTCCATACATGTAAAGGCAAAAGTATATAAATTTGACTTAACAGGCAAAGGTACTTTTGTGTTACTACTAAAGACCAAAAGGAATAAGATGTTTATAATCCCTTTTTTTTTTTTGATTTATGCCTAGTTCTTTTTTATCATCAGAACAAAGCCAAATGGCTTAATAGCCATATGACACATACTTTCCCCCCAGGTTTGTAGGCCAGTTTTTGAAAGTTGTCTAGCTCAAGCAAGTACAGAAAACAAGGTACCAATATTTTTAGTACAAAGGCAAAAACACATTTTTGAAAAGCACAGAAGAAATTGAGCAAACCGACAGGTCTGGTCAGGGGGGAAAGGACCACTAAAAATAGACCCAAGTGATTCCTTTCACCATTCCTTTCACTGTTCCTAGAGATATTGATATCGTATTTGTGACCATAGCATTATTTGTATATTCTACTACTTGCACAGATTGTTTGTCTTCCAGTTTAACAGGAAATCTCAGGTCCAATAAAACTCATTTTCATAAAAAGAAAATAGCGCTGGGGTTTTTTTTTGTGCGTAGCACAGAAAATCCTTTGAAAGAAATGTTCCCTTAAAATTATCATAGCTGTTAACTTTCTGATCTGAAAAGTAAAGCATTAATACAAAGAAACTAAACAGAAGCCTTAACATTCAAGGGATTTAGAGGCACACACACAAAAAAATACAATCAGTCTTAGGCAAGGAAGTCAATCTTTACCTTACAAGCTGTTAGCATGTCAGCTACTGCTTTGCGGCTCAGATTTGCTGTAGCAATCACATCCTCCTGCCTGCATGAGTTCCCAGCTGCAACAGCTTTGGCAGTTGCCATGGTGATTCCTTTCGTCATCCGGATTGATTCTTCAGGTGATGATGTCTTTTCTGGAACGTCGCTTGACTGAAACACCTACAAGTGAAAGCAGAAGGAAAGCCTGATACCATTCAAGTCAAAGCGGAACAACCATGAGAAAGAGACAGCAACTGGAAGCAGCCTTCGAACAGCAGGAAATTAGAAACATATTTGGAGTACTTGAATATCATTCTTGCTTGTCATGAGCCTGGTCCTGATAAGCCTGCTCACCTACAGACAGCGGAGAGAAACAATAAGCTGAGGGAAGCACACAAAAAACGGTTAACCCATTCATCTCACCTGCCATTTAACTACCCGGATGACAGTTTGTTACAGACAGCTGTTTGGAGTATTACAGGAATTACTATTCCTTTAATTATATTCTTTTTTTTCATCCTGACTGCTGCTTAGGCTGGTCTGCTCACATGAGGAGATCCTTCCCCTGCAAAGGCTGGGCCCTACCGCACCTTTGTTAATCGCACAGTGCAGGACAGACCGAGAACAACACTAAAATATTCAAATGTCTCTTAAAGTGGAGATGGAGCGTTGTCTCTTACGCTATACTTAATCTTCCTTAGAAACCTAAAGATATAATTTTGCAGGGTGAATCATGTGAAAATAGTTCAAATTATCTGACAGTACACACTACTCTCATGAATACTGGAACACATGAACTGTGGCAAGATGCGGGTAATACGAGCTGGGTAACCTTACTTTTATCTTACCTTTCCTTTTCCCAAGCTTTAGTCTGTATTTGCTTGCCTTTCGTTTTACTGTGCAGGGGCAATTTGGAGTGCACAATTAATCAGGAGACGTTTCTTGCCTACGTACAGTGCAACCTAAGCAGGCTAGTGGTTACAGAATGCAAGTGTCTGGACAAAAATGAGCCTCGTCTAGTCCATGCTCCCGGCTTGTCAGTTTTTCACTTTCTCCAGAAATGGATGCGATGTTAAAAAATAAAGTCTAGCTAAATATGTGAATGTTGCTCAGATTCGGCCCCCAGAGTTCCAAGTCAAGTTTGACGCATTTTCTTGAGCACATACGTGCCATCCTCAGGTCCTCTTGACCCTCTCCTAGTACTCTGCTTTTCTCCCCATGAAAGAGATGACACCACCACAGACCCATTCCTTAGCAATACTGACAAAAGGAAAAGGCAGAGGAGGAACATTTCAAAGAGATACCAACCAGATTGAGAAAGCAGATGTGATAATGCACAATCCTTCAATGACAGATCTGGACAGGTTTTAGATCAGACTTATGGGAAGGAATGTAACTCAGCCAGGCCTTCACGAGGACACGTGACACTAATGTGCACTAGATATCACACAGAACATTCCTGATCAGGTACTGAATCGGGAGTTTTTACCACTGCAGACACTGTACGAGTTCCCAACAACTATATACAGGTATTTAAAAAAAACCCAAAAGACCTAAACCAAACAAGAGTTATTACTTCATTACAACAGCATTGCTCACACAATGAAAAATAGATGCACTTGTAGTGCTCTAGTGTATTGTAGTGTGACAGCGCTCTTATGGAGAGCGCTTGACAAGGCAAAACTGTGCCAGTGCAGTTACAGTGTAAGAATTGCTAATCCACAGACTATACAACAAAGAATTTCCTGCTGGAGACTGTCTCTACACATTTTTTTATAGAAATGACTGTAAGTAAAGGAAAAAAAAATCAGGCTTCTTCACAAACATGCATGTATTAATTTATGTCACTGACTAGTGTACTAGTAAAAAAATAATAAGTGAAAGGTGCAGCTGGAGGTTATACTTTTAAAGAGGAAGGAAAACAATTGTCATCATCTAACACCTCATTTGGGAGAGAATTCTATACTATTGTTAGTTCCTGCTCAGACAGAATATCAGACAGCAGGCTATGTATCAATGGTAGTATCACTTTATAGTAAAGGAAAAATGGAAACAAGATTAAATGGCAGTTGCAATATGGCTATGATGCTGAGGAGACATTACCAAAGCCAGGATCAAAAAGTGAAGAGCACTGGACTCAGAAAAGAGTATCTGGAGCAAAGGCTTAGCGTCTAAACAACAAAACAGCAGCTGCTTCCAGATTTGTACATGATGGTAGCATCTCAAATCTCAAAGCAGTGACTGGTAATGTCTGAAAGTAGGTAGGCTGAAGTGGTATTATAATTGTACTTCCAGAGATGATTTGCAACAGGTAGAGAGAACCAAATTGCATCCAACGCACTGCAAGGCAGTAAGGCATAGCTTGAGGAGGAGGGCCTGGGCCGGCCGGTTTGAGTGTAAGAGCATACTTTAAAAAAATGCCATGTATGGCTATTTTATTCTGTACCGTGAGCTCCTGTTTGATGTACTCTATTGTGGCCTCAAGAGCTCTTGTCCCTCGAGTAGCTTCATCTTCTACTGCTTTAACAGTCTTCAAAAGCGATGTGACATTTGTTACCATCACCTAAAGAAGAGAGAGATGAAGACAAAAATAAGTGATTCCTTCCTCCCATTTTTCAGAGACAGCAGGGCAAATTAAGCTAGGCAGCATTATTCCTTCTACCAGGGCCTAAGAGGCTTCATGAACTGTACTTGTTATGGGAGTAAATACCAACTCTCCTGTTGGCCAGTTTCTGAAAGCTCCCTACAAGTTGCAGAAACGTGGCCCAACTAACTGCAGAGCAATACCATCTTAAGTGTGTGTTCTGGCAAAAAAAATTTACAAAAAGATGGAAAATTCACATTTCCAGGGTAGGTCTCTTACACAGATTGATTATGTTAGTGTCTTTTCTTCCTGCACATCTTACACTGCAAATTGAAAGAGATGAGAAGAGAGGTATGGTATTTCTTTTTGAAATTTACCCAGTACCTTCTCCACAATCAGATAAAACCCCAAGCGAGCAAGCAGCCAAACACTAGCCTCAAGCCCAAATGCAGACACAGAATCAGTGTTACTGTTCCCATTACAAAACCCAATAGTCCTGATGCAGAATAACCTCATTGTCACCCTAATAACTACGCCTTTCCTATAGCCCGGTATGTTAAGATACAAATGACAGCTACAATGAAAAAAGAAGAGACAGAAAGACCAGCTTCTGGTCTTGACAATTATGACTTAAAACACAGAGAGCTCTTCACAGCAGGAAGAGCCAAGAAGCCACTTTTCTTGACTAGATGGGTCATTTTCAAGTGGTGCCCCAACAGTATACTGTTATCATGTGCTCTGAAAGGGAAAGAGGCACAGGTCTTACAGGTAAGCAACAGGCATGAGAGTGAGAACAGCCTCCAGTCAAGCAAGAAGCAACCACGACATTCTCATAATGTGAAAGCGGAAGTAATACCACCTAAATCTCCACATCTGAAAATACTTTGTAGCCACAAAGACCCAAGATCTTTGTGAGGCAAATGTCATAATACATCTCAGGTGCAGGCAAAATAAAGCACAAAGATATGACAGGTATGGTGTAATCTGTGTGAGTTTTGAGCTTTGATACCTATGTACTTCCTGGAAAGATCTAGGAGACGGGTCAGAAACGCTCAATATCCTACTGTAGAGTTACTGGAGGGGTTTGTGTCCCCTTTCCTCCCTCCCTGTCTTCCCCCTTCCCCCAGGCTGCAAAGCCTAAATAAAGAGGCCGCATGCTTATCCTGAGCATATGTCATTGTTTAAAATGTAGTATTTAGGTACCATTTTATACTGGATAAATTTTAGTCTATAATACTATTTATTAAAGGAGAACCTGCCCTGAGATAACGTGCTTGCAAAAGAAAGAAGTTTCTCTTCAGAAAGATTACAGTTCTTTCATCACAAACACAAAAGTCATCTGACAGCCTACAAAAACTGATAGCTTCATGGAAACTCCATAGCGTCATCTTATTTTTCTATATCATCCCAGGATGATAATGAAGCAAAGAAAGAGATGAGACGTCAGGCAATCAGAAACTGCTGAAATCCAAGCTTCACATGTCTATCAAGTGTGATTACACAGATAATTTCAAATAAAATTTAAGAATCGGGTTTTACCTTGGCAGCACCTTTCAGCTGGTACATGGATGGATCATCTGCTGGTTTGCTAGCAGCTCCTTTGGTAGCACCAATGAGATCAGAAAGGGCCTTTGCAACATCCTTGATAGCATTGATCAGGACAACCTACAGGAGTGAGAAATAGCCATAAGCCTCCTCCAAATCCTCCTTTGCCCTTTCCACTAGTAGCTAATCAGATGTTTTAAGTATCTTGCTGGAATTCAGAAGAGTTCATTTCAAGGAAAATGTTGAAAGATGCATGAAAAATTAGAAAGCTCAGGAAAAAAAAGGAGGTGTGGAATGATCACTTCTCAATAACTGCATTTCTGCAGCATTATAAATAATAAAAAAACAGCCTCACTCCTTCCTGTTTCTAGTTCACTGTAACATATATAGAAGTAAAGTCTTTGCTTTCCCTGAAAAGTTTATTTAGCTTGTGGTCACTCAGAAGCTCTTTCACCATGGAAATAAGAACCTGGGATACAGGACAGACTGATGTGATTCTCTGTTGTCCAACTGCCTATGTTGTGAAGCAACTTGCAGTGCAAGACACATGAAACACTATTGCACCAGGTAAAGTAAGTGTTGTGACAGTATTGAGTGCTAAAGCTATTAGAAATGCTCCATTTTAGGAAACATGATACACCTACAATGTCAAAATGGTACTATAAAATTGCTCCAAATAAATAATTACGTGCACAATAGCTTTTATTCTAAGTACTGTATTCTTGGCTTTTACATATAAAGAAAAAACAATGTGTGATAAACATTTTGCAAATGTTGCTAGTTTATGGAAAACTTTCTGTTAAAAAACCCAGAAAAAGAAAAAAAACAAATGTGCTTCCAGTATTATTTTCCTGGAGAAGAACATCTTGGAAGTTTAGTCCATCGTACACGTTAAGCAAAACAGAACACACATCTCTTTCAGAGTGTTATGCAGATGAGCAGGCTTTTTCAAACTCATTTGTATCACCACAGGCACATCTGCAACATGCTTGCCAACCTCCAGTTCACCAAGATCCAGACAAACAACTGAAGAAATATTTGATATAATCTACATCGAAGGCTGAAGTTACCAAGTTAAATGAAAACCAACTCAGATATAGCTAGAGAATGGCAAGAGCTTATGAGCCTACACAAATAGCACACAGTGCACAGCCCAGTTGTAAGCTGGATAAGTAGCGTTAAAGTCATTCAAGCTCTTTAGAACAAAAATGGGATGTAGTCAGGGGTCCCATCAGAACTGAATAAAAACGAGACTAATACTTTGCCAAAAGCATCTCAGCTGGAACACACCCACGAAATAAAAGCAGAAGTGTTATACAAAGGCATGTCTCGTTCCACACAATGTTTTAACCTCCATTGTGTTCTAAAAACAAGTGATGCCTGAGTAAACCCAGAGAAGTCCCAGAACAGAGGAACCCTACTGTGTTGCTTAAAAGCAGAAGTCCCACAAAGTCTTATCAATGGAAAACTGTTTCTGGTCTCTAAGAGTATCAGAAAAATCATAAAACATCTCACCTGTGTTTCAGGATCATCGGATCCCAAGCTAGCCGCTCCTAATTTTACTACCTCAGCAAGTTGAGTGATGGTGTTAGCTGATGACTGAGCTGCTTGGGCTAGTTTGTCCTGACTCGAGGCAGCACCAGAAACCAACAACTTTGTATCTTCAACTAAAGCTTTTGCTGTTTTCAGGATATTTTCCCTGTAGCAAAAAAAAAGAGGAAGCAGGGAAGGAAGTGGAAAAAGAGAAGAGGAAAAAAACGTGTTTTTCAATGTTATGGTGACTAACAGCTACATAAAAGAGCTGATGCAAGTCATTATGCCAGTCTCCACTCATGATAATACACCACAGGCCAGTCTGCAAGTTAAAAAAAAAAAAAAAAAAAAAAGACAAGATGACTACTAAAAGAATAGCATTATATTTTGGGCTAGATGCAAGGCAGTTTATTGAAATGACCCCATCTTGAAAAGAAACGAGGCAGGGCAGTAGCAGAAAAGAACACTGCATTTTAACACTGAAAGAAAATATGGCCATGCGGTGAGGAAAGTAACAGCTGTTGATCCGCCATCTTAATCAGCATATTGTAAGGAAACTAAAATAATTATTTGTGAGGAAGGCAGTAGAAGAATGGTAAAAGGTACAAAGACTGTGATCTAGTCAGGGTTCCCCTCCATCATATACGTGTTTTGACATGTCTGGACAACAAATCCAAAGCAACATTTGTGTAAAAGAAGAAACCGTTTTGAGTATGCACTTCACAAACAAGTTAATTGAGAACTAGAACCATATTCAGGTATAATCTCCAGGCTGACATTTATGACACTTGTATGAAAATCCCTGACGTCCATTCTGCAGAATGGCAGCAACTTACACACCATTGCATCTTTCCTCTTCCCTGAGGAACTGGTAAGGCGGGAAAATAAATGCTGGCCACACAGTTGCTGCATAGGCCAACAAGGCTGCAAAGCAGTAAGTCAGTGGCTCAGCTGGGAAGCCCTGGGTTTTACTGCAAAGGAAGTAAGAGTCAGACACTGCGAATCTCTTAATGCAATGAAAAATGCTGTGGGATTATTCTGTTGCAGATGCTACTTGAACGGAAAATGGGCTTATCTCTGCCAAAGGGGAAAATGCGTGGCATAGCTGTGCTGTTTCCATCACCGCTGTCCACAACAGCATTAACAATAAGCACGATTTAGCAAGACAAACAGCCAGACAGCTGTTGGAAAAAAGTATGTAGAAGATTCCTCTTCAATGTCACGGACAGCTAATTTTCGCTACTAGAATAACAGTGCATGGTAGTCTATGCAATGAGATGACTTGAATAAAAACAAAAGAAAGCCAAAATAGCACTAGTTGTGGTCTCTGTTGGAAGTGCTCTTGGCAGATGTTTCCCAGCTTTTTTCAATTCTTTCCTCACAGAAATAACCAAAGCGACATTTGCTGTCCCCTATCAATATCCCTATTTTCCTATTTCTCTTCTCACTCCACTGCCTCATTCAATTTCATTCATGCAATCTAGAAAGGTAAACATTTATTTCCACATGCCAGTCACTTCTGCCAGTTCCACTGTTCCCCTGTGCACATGCTCTTCCATCTTTTTCAGTTACACTGACCTGTGGTCTGCAAATGATTCGTTGTTCTCAGCGTTAAGGGTTCCAGCAGTAGCAAACATGATAGTGGTGTCTAGATCTGCGATTATCCCAGACACGGCACTAGCCGCGGTAATACAGGCTTGCGTACCTTTGTTTCCCGCTTGAAGGGCAGATAAAACTAAGGAGACCTGGGAACAGCATAAAACAAGGCAGTCATTGAAAGAAAGCCTCATTATGGGATGTTGAGTTAAGCGAGCTCTTCAGCATGACTGGAATCAACAGGGGAAATTCATTCTGCAGAGTCATTTTGCAAACATTAATGAAACTCACTAAAGATTGTCTCAAATTAAAGGGGATTTCAGCGAGGAAGCCCGCTTCTCAGACAGAATGAAGAGATCTGTTCATCATAGCATGAAGCACATCAGTTAAAACTTCCTTGAAATACAATCAGAGCTAATGTAGTGAACTTCTGCCAGCATAAATGTCAGAGCCAAGAGCTACTGCTTTTTCCCTAACACACACAAATAAACACCGTCCTCAGGCACCCGAGGAGTCACGTACAGTACACAGATATAAACGTTAACATCAGAGAAATATAAACTCTCTGAAGCCAGATACTAAATATTGTTATATTTATTGAAAGTTATAGAAATACAATACATAGCTTCATATCTAGCAACATTTTTGATCACTAGAAAAGCTAGAGATTTCCATTTCATCTAATTAACATTGTACTTACAAAGCTCCGCAGCTGAGATGCTGTTCTCATGCCGTACTATGGTCCTAAATTCTGCTTTTGCAAGAAAGGCTCCAAATCCGGGGATACGTACACTGACTTCTACTACTACAGTTCTTCCTGAGGTTCTGTTCAGATTCAAAGTTGTCCCCAAATAGTTTGTCCCCGTGATTCATTATTACTCTCCTTACTCTTTTTACAAGATATTGTCTACCCTTGCCTAAATTCGGAATTGCTGATACTCCTGGGGCATGACAGGCTGGAAAATTTGTACAGTTGAGAGCACACTAACACAGGCTGAACAAGTGATGTTTGGTGACATATAAAAGTAACTGACAGTTGACTCTCGATGTCCGTGACCAAAAAAAGGAGAGAGGCGTCATCAAAAAGGTTCACCAAAGCCAAGCTACCAGGCCCTCTGTCTGAAATGGACATTTCAGAGACCATGAAACTCCGGACAGTTTGAAGATGCAGTTCTAAGCACATTGGCTTGGCACAGTCTTAAAAAGGGTGGACATCACTACATGAAATCACTTGTCAATGACCATCCTCATCTCAGTAACTGTGGCCATCCACGTGGACTTTGCATTTCCAAGGGAGTGCCTCGTAAGGCACAAGTGCCATCTGTCTTAGGGATTAGTATTGGACCAGTCTCCCTTTGGTATGAGGCTGAAGTTTTATTACGAGACATGAGCAAGGGTTAATCATGGGCTAACCGACCACATGAACTGCACAGAACACTTGAAAGAAAAGTAAGAACTTAGTGTAATTCAGCCAACATTGTACTATAATGGGAAGTTTAAAAAAAAATTAAAAATGTCCTGAACAATTTGACTGGCTTACTCCCTGGGAAAGCTCAGTAGACAAACACCATGGGGCAACATAGAGGGATGTCTTACCTTTTCCGTGACAGCACGAGCACATTCTATCAACTCCCTTTTGGTGTAGCTGTCTGTAGGGCAAATTTGGAGAGCTCCAGCTTTTTGCACAAGAAAGATACAACCATGGCCCAGTTCTTGCACCCGAGTCCTGATCTGGAACCCTATCTAGATGTTAAAGGAGGTACAGGGAAAAAGGAAGCAAAACCGAAGTGAATGCCATGCTGGTACATTGTGTCAACATAAATGGAAACATGGTCACTCTAGTGAATCTTTATTACCAACATTCCACCCCTCACTACACTCTCTGCAGAGATCAGAAAAAAAGTGGCAGATGTAATACCATCTACTCATGTAGCACAATCCTGTAAAAGGCTTAGTGATGAACCAGGAGCACTAGTGAAGCGGACCCCAGGAAAAAGAACGCGTAAGGTGTTTATCCCAGTCAAGCATACGTAATTCAAACACACACAACTTCACCACACTCAGGTAACACCACTTCATCTCCCAGAACTGTACCGTCAGTGTCAGCTGTATTCGAGGTAGAGACAAAAGGTAAAAAGTCCACATTTACTCTCCACTACTGAAACTGGGTCAAAAAGTATATGACTCCATTTGTTTTTGAATCTTGCACAGAGGCTCAGCTCGCAAGAACTGACCACACACATGCAGAGCACTGAAATTTGGAAAATCCTGCCCTCACTGTTTCTGATTTATTAATAATCCTACAGCATAAAATGCACAGTCCCTGTTTAGAAACACGTGATAGTTTTAGTACCTGCATATACTTAGGCATATAGGTGTGTATTGGGATTAGTAAGTAAGCAGGAATCACAGCCATTAGTATCACAAATGGGATTATTTCAACTTCAGGCAGAAAGTAACATGCAGAAATGGTAATTCGATTTAACAATACCAAGCCAAATGCAAGCCGTTGCTTTTCATATAGCTACTGAGCTTGAAACACTCGAGTAGTCTATCAGCTGTGGAACATAATTACAAAGTCAAAAACTCTTTTAAGGTCTTCTATCTAGATACAATCTGATACCTCCGGTGATGGTGAGATACCCTCTTTACCCCATCTCAAAGTTTGTCTATGCACCATAACCAGAGGCATGCAATGAGAAGAAGAGGTAAAAGGATTTCTGTAATTGTACTCAGAGAAGAAGAGGGCGGTGAGACACTGGAACAGGTTGCCCAGGGAAGCCGTGGCTGCCCCATCCCTGGAAGTGTTCAAGGCCAGGCTGGACGGGGCTTTGGGCAACCTGGTCTAGTGGAAAGTGTCCCTGCCTGTGGCAGCGGGGTTGGAACGAGATGATCTTTAAGGTCCTTTCCAACCCAAACCATTCTACAACTCTATGAATATGTAGCAACTACTGTAACAGTTTAATGAAACTGAGGTGAATAGTCCATATTCCTCTGTTAGCATGCAGTGGGTAAGACTGCATGGCGAACACACTTCTCCTACGTTGTATTCCAACTCTGAAGTATAAAAGATGCCCCATCAGCAAAAGTTACTTGTGTTCCTACTGGTTGCCTGCATCTCTTTCAGACAGGAAATACTTAAAATCGCTTACAGGCAAGATAAAAAAACCCCATATATATATATATTTGTAATTCATCAAAATATATGAGATCAAAGGAAAGCTGTATAGTAAATAATTTAAAATTTTCTTTGTATGTGCAAGTTGTAAGTGAAAGCCCCAAGTAATTTAGGAGGTTCTGCCCTGGTCTATGGAATTATCCACTATTATCACAAGCTGTTTCTTTCTGAAGGTGGACCGAGGCTTTGACAAAAGGTTTCTGTTCTTTGAGTAATTCTTATAACAAGCCTTGTAGCATAAAAAGCCACATTTACGAAGTAAAATGTTATGTCTTTTGCATAGTCCCTAAGTGTTGTTAAAAGTCTGCTGATTCATTGCGCTCCTAGGAGAAAACTTGTTCACATGTATCAAGAGCAATGGAAGGGCTGAAGAGAAACAGGATCAAAGACAGTTTGAAGTTCTGAATGTTCACTAAAACCACTCTGTAGTAAATCCTAATTCTTATTGTTATACACCTGTGCACGTGAGCAATGGTAAAAGTGAAGTGTGTTACCAGTAAATATGTACTCTGTGGTACTATGTGCAGCTCTGCCCCAACCTGTGAAGGCACGCTGAATAGGGAGTGTATTTGGAGGAGGGAAAGGTCAATACCAAAGACCAAAATAGATCTCTCTCCACAAACCGTAAGACGGAAACAGTACTTATGACGCATGGATGTAAATAACTTGATATTCTAAGATTTCTCAGCATTTTGAAAAGACACACAATTTCGCTTATGCTCATTGGTTGCTTTCCGTCCAACGAAAACAAACTCAGTAGAGCTTCTGTTTGGCTGCATATTGTTTCTGTCTAAAAGTTTGGTTTTAGCAAAAATTGAAGTAGATCATAAAAGAGACAGATCTGTATAGCCAAAGCACACCTATAATGTTGACTCTGTTCATGTCATGGGTGCAATCAAATGATAGTAGGCCAAATGAAATTCTTCTGCGAACAGATGTGCTGTCCTGTCCCACATTTCAAGTGTTAGTGGGTCAGAGGCAGCACATCTGCTTGCCTATCAGACAGAGCACACATACTATAGGTAGTGCTTGCGTACAAAAGTGGCTAACAAAGCAAAGACAGTGGAAACAGATTCACTGCATTAGTTTTAGAATCATCGCAAAGACATTTGAAAGAAAACACATTACCCAACTGTTTGAAAACTATTATCTGTCTGGTCATACAAGGGATGTATCGCATTTGGCAATTGCTGCAAGCATGTTGCTGCAACCGAGTGAGGTGAATACCCCTTGTCACTTCGCTCTGTATTTACTGTATTATCCACGGTAAAAGAATACCCGTGTTGACGCCATTGTGTACAGAGAATAAAGAGGTCTAAAAACTGCAGACCTCCTCTGGTTCTGCTGTAGCTGCAGCCATTCGGCCCTGGAGAGCCAAATGCCCATAGTCATTGGTCATTTGTGATGCAAGTCCTCCCAACTCTTCCGGGTTAGTAACCGACTTAGTCATCTGAAAAAAGAACACAGGCAAGAGAAAAATGACAAGCATGAGAATAATTTGTTAATACACTCCAGCTTAGAAGCACACTCATTTGTTTGGCCACACTGATGAAACGGGGGAAACCACTTGCCATGTAAGGGACTTGTCCTCCAGCAAGAATTCCATGAGGAAACCCAAGCAAACATGCTTTATTAGAGTCATGTGAACCAGGCACTCGCAGAACATACAGAGTAATCAAAGAGCAGCAGTTAGAGCTGGTAATTCCACTCTTTGACACAACAGGGTGACAGGCCAGGTACACAGTTATTCAGACCAGGTGGGGAAGTGGGTTTTGTCTGTCACAGCCACCTTATTTTGTCAAAGGTGAGCTAGCCTGCATCAGTCTCAGCTGGCCTGGCGTGAGAGCATGAAAATGGAAAAATCCGAGGACCGATGCAAAACACATCTAAGATACTGGAAAAAGACCAAGAAGAAACAGGTAGGACTACACAGAATGCCTTGGTAGAACATCAGTATAAAATAACCAAATCTCTCTAGAAAAAGCCTCCCTTTTAACAGAATATTTCTTCTGTCTCCAATTTGGTTTAGTAAAGCCATGGAATTCCATCATTAGGGCAAAACTAGTTTTAGACAAATTTATACTGTTTGCCAATAAGCTGCAATGCCATAGACAGCTGAATCATCAACCTGTCTTGACTGCAACAGCAATCAATTTTGTAAACAAATCCTGCCTGTAGCACACATAAATAATCCCCTTGTCTCTCAAAAACAAACAAGAAATGCAAGTACTCTTCAAACACATTATGGTAACCACTTCTGTGAAACATGAGTAAGAAAAATCTCAATTCAACAAGTGTCCTTTTTTCTTTTGTTAAACCCAGGTGAATCACAGAAATGCAAGAAAAGAACAACTTGAGATGTTGATCTGCATTCATTCAAAAGTATTACAGGAGTCTGAAAATACTGACGTTATTTTGCAAGTTAAATGAAACAGTATGTGTGAAAGGGTAACCTGAAGTCATCAAGAAGTCCAAGGTGGTATTTCAGTGACAATTGAACAGGCTGCTAGAAAAAGCATGCAGGTAAAATGTTTTCCTTTTATTTCTCATAGAAAATGAGCCAAATAAAAAGGTTTTGCACAGAAGAGCCACAACACAATCCAGCAGTCCTCCTGTAGAGGGACACCTCTACGATTGTGACACTAAGATCCAAGAGTTAAATTGACAAAATCATCACTTCCTTTGTTTGCTCCATTACCCCTGAAGAGATAAGGTTATTGAAAATTAGCATTATAAAAAGTTTCACAACACTGCGCAAATCGTTCCTTGTTCTGTATGTACACAGAAGAGTTTGTACTTCGTTCTAACTAAATCTTACCATTTCCTGTGCTGTTACAGCAATGGCTTTAGAGTATTTCACCACAGTAGTCTGATAATCAACAAATGTTCCCTTGGGATCTGGAGGAGTACCTTCATCCAGCTGCAAGAAAAAGGGAGAAATATGCCAGAAATAATAAGGTCATAACCAACAGCATACTTTACACGTAACAATGAAATTCTACGAAATACTCATTTTTATGATCTCCTCTCAAAATATGCAAGTGATGATACTGCACCAGGATGTAAGGAGAAGCTCAGAAAAGACTCTAGCCCATGTTAGGAGCATGGAAGATGCAGAGAATTTACAGCGCAGAGTTCTGGAGTGCAAGGTCAAACCACCTGTAGCTCTCGGCTAATGCAGAAAGGAATGTGCAACAGTTATGAAACAAAACGTTCCTGCAAGATGATAATGTAAGATTCCTTTACATGGTAAAGGCTTCAATCCTGAACATCTTTATCTTGAGACAGGAAATGCCAATTATTTGGATTGAACTCATTTACATTTTGCAACTATACATTTTCAGTACAATACTTTACAAAGCGTAGCAGAGCACTTCAGGCTTTGACCTCTTCTCTCAAAGTAGTTTGCTTCAAGGCTGGCCTGCTGATCATTGAGGAGACTAACATGAAATATAAGTAGGAAAAGGAAGCAAAAATAAAGGCCAGTTGACCTAAGATGGTAGTTAAATACCAGCATATTCCTGAATAAAAATATTTTGTAGTAATTCTACCAACAGGTACTGTGTAGGTTGTTAACACGACTGCCATCGCCCATGTCAGTTTGATTTCAGAGTCTTCAAAACCAAAGAATCTTTAGGTTTCCTGTCACAGCACGTCAGTTACCAACCATCGCTGAAGTGAATCAGCAGCAGTTCTTCCAACCCCCTGCAATGTGGATCGGCTTTTGAGTACAAAATGAAAAGGGGGTCTGGCTTTCTATGCTCACCTTGCTCATTGCCTCTGCTATGGAGTCTACCATACCTCCAACCATGCCTACTTCACTTGCAGCTTCATTTAAAGTAACCATGATATCATCCACAGCTTCTTTCATCAGTTGAGCGGCCTCAGTGATTGCATCATGAGTATGGGATGCCTGGAAGGGAGACAACAAGAAAGCAGAAATCGGCGAGGATTCTGTGCACAAATCAACATGCAAATCAAAGCATAATTAATGAAGACAATACAATAACAGCTCTGAAAAATACCGTTTCAGGTCAAAGATGAGAAGCTAAATGTAACACCAATGTCGACAGAACAAATCTTGCTTAGACAAGAAAACACAATGTCAAATAAGAATCGCTTAGAAAAGCAACAGAACCTCTTCTAGAAAAAATTATGAAAAGGACTTGTCTGTAGCGGAAGCGACAAAGATAAGGCAAAAATAACACCAGACAGTGAAACAGTCTACTTCTGTACCAAAACGAATTGTTCAAAAAAACCACATACAGACATATGAACAACAGGAGAAAATGCCTGCCATATAAAGGAAAAAAATATCACTCTTATATAGCATCACTAAAAAAGACTAACAAAAAACACTCAAAAAGAAATATTTCGCAACAGTTTTTCTAAACCAGTAAATAAAAACAAAACAAACCTGCAAAATCCTCTATCTCCAATCAAAAATCTACTTTAAAAAACCTGCTTGGATATTAATGAAGAACTCATAAAAAAGAAAAAAATCAAAACCTTAGAACAAATATAATTAAAAAAAACAACCACCAAACAAAAAAAAACCCACCAAAACCAAGAAAAAAGGCGCAAACACAAGTGGGGCAGGCAAGTGCCCTTCAGAGAAAGGTGCGGGATGGATTCCTGTCTTCAACAAGTATTTCCCCTCTCTGAGGGGAGATGGCAAATGTATCCTTGGGTCATGTAGTAGGGATTTTTTGTTTTTTTTCTGCCCTGCCTGCCCTCTCCCATCTCCATCAATCCCTTAGTTACACATGGCAACCATACCTTGGGGTTTCCTCCCCCTTCTTTGGCAGCATACAGCATCTGTAAGGCAGATTCTGCTAGTGTCTTGCTCTGGTCCAACACGGTCATCTGTTGCTGATGATCCAGTGTTTTGGATGCCACGCCAACTGCAGCTAAAACCAAGGGTTCGAAGTAACTTGCCAGCTGCGTCACCTAAGAAAACCAGAACGACCACAGAAAGCCATTAACCTCGTTTCTCAAGTGTAACTGAGAGGAACCATATTCCCTGATTACCACCAGCCACAGGTTAGCTTAAGTGGCACACAGTCCTAGGGCTTCTGCACTGTACGTTTAGTTTGCATTATGGGCCTGTATGATTCTGTCTCCCATCACCTTCAAATTCCTTGATTTACGCTCATTCTGAAGAAACACCTGCTTTTGGCTATACACGTATTCTAAGAAAATAAGCTAATATTTTTATAGGAATTAATATTTTTACAGCCTACCTGTCATGTGACACATCTTCTATAAAACCACAACCATGCTTGGTTCCTGTCAGAAATCTATGAGACTTTGCTTTTACAGTTTTTATTGGATGCGAAAACCCTGTACTGCTTTGGGCTGATTACTCCACAGCACGTGCACAAATAGCCCACTGCAGCACCATCTGGTACACCTGAAGCCTCAGAAGTCCAAGTGTGCATACATTTGCAGGAGCTATAAGCAGTTTTCAAAGGCTGGCACGGGGAAGAAAAATGGTACTACTCCATGCGCAGGAAAAGATATTGAAAGGTTTACTCCATTCTAAATGACTGTGGACAGCTAAGAGCCAATAAAATTTTCAGACTTGGTCAGATGTCTTTTTCTATCCTGTTTCTCAGAGGATTAAAGCCAAAAAAAAGGAAAAATCCTTAATAATAAGAATGATTTCATAAACATAAGGTCTTTTAAATTGTATCAAAGTAAACAGCAGGAACGATTTCTTCTGCATTCAGCA